CCCAGCCACCTGGCCCCTGCTGCAGCCCCCCTTGCTGCAGCCCCCCCAGCCACCTGGCCCCCACTGCAGCAGCCTCACATGCACATTCCTGCAGCACCTCTCCAATGCATTCACCCCCCGCAATACCCTCAGCCCCCAAAACCGACCTTGTCACCCCCCAGAGCATGCCCACCCCTTCCCCCCCACAGCACCCTCCCCTCCAGTACCGTCCCCCCAGCCCATGCTCCCCATGCCCCCCGAGCCCCCCGCCCTGTGAGAGGCCCTGAGCTCAGCTCCCGGCCCGGCCCCCATACCATGACCGTGGTGTCCTCGGAGGCGCTGGCAATGACGTTGTCGTTGTGAGGGCACCAGTCGATGTCCAGCACGGGCGCCGTGTGCCCAGTCACCAAGGGATGGTTCTTATCCACGCGCCCCGTCTGGAACACACAGGCAGGGCAGTGAGCAGGGGCCAGCTGACAGCGCCCTGTGCCTCTCACCCCTGCCCCACAGCCAGTGCCCCATCGCGGTCTGCCCTGCCTGCGAGGGGCACCGAGCTGCCTGGCCCCCCAACTGCTGGTACTGGGGCCACGTCCATGGGCAGCCAGCGCTGGGCAGAGGGAGCTGGGCGGAGCACAGCCTCCTCCCCTAGCCAGGCTACCAGCTGCAGTACGTTGGCCCCTCTCACCGTGCCCTGGGCCCGGCTACGGGACTCGTCGAGGGGAGGGGGGCTCCAGTGACTGAGCTGGGGGGTGTCAGCACAGATCCCAGTGGGACAGGTGCCCACGTCCCCACACGACTAGCGTCCTCGGCACTAATCGCGCCCTCGGCAGAAGGGCTAGGGCCTGGCTGGGCCCCGCAGCTCGAGTCGCCCTCCCCCAGCATCTCCTATACACTCACTGACCCCCAACACCCTTGTCCCCTGGCAGACAGGGGGCACCCGGCTCCCACAGGGCAGGCCCAGGTTTGTCACTCAGAGCCTGGCCACAGCTCCTTCTCAGCCCGTAGATCTCAGAGCGCTGCTCGAAGCAGTATCACCCACACTGCACAGATGGGAAACCGAGGCACAAGGTAGGGGACGAGTCTTCCCCAAGGCCCTGCAGTGAGTCAGTAGCAGAGCAGGGAATGGAACCCAGGAGTCTGGACTGAGAGTCCCCAGCAGGCCACGCCTCCTCCCAAGCGGGCAGGGGCTTGGACTCAGGACTCCTGGGTTCTAAGCCCAGCTCTGGCACCGACTCGACGTGGGAGAGTCCTGTCCCCTCGCTAGGCCTTAGGAAGGAGCCCCCCACAAGCAGCCTCTGATCTGCCTGCCCCTTCCTGTGCCCCCCTCTGCCCCTCCCCAGGCCAGCGAGCTGCACACACCAGGGCAGCGCTGTCCAACTGGAAACTCGAGCTGTGGAAACAGTGACCCCGTGGTTTCCTGCTGTCCCCTCGATTGTTCCCGGTATGAGTCACATGTTATTGTGAGCACAGCCTCCCCGCGCCGGACAACTGCTCCAATCCATCTCTGCCCGGAGCCCGCCTGGCCACGGGCAGCCTGGTGTGGGTGGGGGGCAGCCAGGTCAAGGTCACAACCCGTAGGTGCTGGTAAATGGACTCCCCAAGGCCCAGAAAGGCTGGTGAGCACGGGAGGGGGCGGAGGGGAGTGGGCCTGGAGGCAGGAGACGGGCAGGTGGACGGGGCAGTGCTGGGGACCAGACAGGATGGAGTGGATACGGCAGAGAGGATAATGGCTGGAGCTGAGAAAGGCTTGTAGCCTGGGGAGGTGGGGGGCAGCAGGAGCAGGACAATGATCTTACCAGAGTAAAACATCCCAGAACTTCTGGGACAGACCCCCGCGCTCAGGGCCAGGGCAGGATCAGGCCCCGTTCTACAGCCCCACTGCTTAGCCTGATGCCCACTCCCAGCAGTAGCTCATCCACCTGCCCCACTGACAGGCCCTGCTGCAGTCTGGCTGACTCCGGCATTGCTCGAGGGCTAGCAGGAGCCGGGGGGGGGGGGGGACCCAAAATCCTGCCCCACCCTCTCTGCTCCTCCTCCTGTCTCCCAGACAGGCTTCCGGCCTGCTCCCCCGGGCCCCCCAGGAGGAAGGCAGCACAGGATGCACCTCCTCACCCCTCTTGACTCACCGGCAGCTCCTGTCCGCTCGCTCACGGTGCCTGGATGGGGGCTGTCTACAGGAGCCCTGGAGCTGCCCGACCCTGGGCCTGGAGGCACCCCCCACCCCCCGGGGCAGGTCACACACACCTCTCTCTGCAGCTGCAAAACAAGCCAGTCCCCAGAACCAATTCATTCGCTGAGCAGCCCCTGGTGCTGGGTGCCAGCCACTCAGCCCTCCTGCCGCTACCCGCCCCAGCGCCGGTCACACCCCCGGGGCAGCATGCCCTGCCAGGGCCAGTCACTCTCCAACGGCCGAGGCTGTAGCCAGAGGTGCGGGGCCCGAGCCCACCAGCGGACACGAGGGGGTTCAGAGTGGCTGGCTGGGAAAGGGCACCGTGCCCTGGGAGGGGGCCTGCAGGCGCCCCACAGCATGGCAGCTGCTGCCCGCTGGCTCCTCGAGAGCTGCCCCATGCGCTGTGGGGAGGCGGGCGGTTCCCTCGCTAATAAACCCCACTCGGCCAGCGTGGCCAGGCTGACCCAGCACCAGAGGAGCCGGGAGCCCGGCTGCTAACTCCCCTTCGCCTGTGAGCTTGTGCCAGAGGGGCGAGGGTAGAACCCACCCACGCCCCGCGTAGGGAAAACCCCACAGCCGGGCTCTGCTGCGGGCCCCTAACCAGCCCCAAGCACAGCACATCGACCTGGCTTAGTCCTGGGGCTGGCGGCTCTTGGCAGCGTGGGGCTGCTGTGAGGAGCCGGGAGCTGGGCTTTGTGCTCCTGGCCATGGCCCCACAGCCCCAGGGGCCGGGCGTCACAAAGTGCTGCCTGCGCCCGGCCGGCTGCTCCCATGCCTGCGCTCAGGAGACGCCGGGGCAGGGACGGCCCGTCCGGCAGGAGCCCGAGAGCCGGGCAGCCCGCAATGGGAATTCAGACCAACCCAGCCCCGTTACCATGGCAATGCGCTAGGACTCTCCCAGCTCCAGGCCCGAGACTGCAACAAAGGCCTGGCAAGGCCAGGCAGCTGCTCCCGCGTGCCGGCCTGGGGGGAGGGGCTGGCAGATGCCCCCCCAACCCGGCACCATCCCCAGCCAGGCCAGCTGGGCTCACACACGGCCAAGCCCGGCTGCCAACGCAGAGGGGGCCGTGGCCCAGCGCTGCTTCGGGGAACTCACCGCTCCCTTCTCCCTGCACTGTTGCTCCTGCTTGGCTCTGCCAGCCAGGGGCCACCACGCAGGCTGGGGCTTCGCACAGAAACACGCCCTGCCCCACGGCCTGCCCCCCACGGGCCCTGGTGGCTGCCGTCCCCTCCCCCCAGCAGCCCGGAGCACTATACAGCACCCAGCCATCTCCACCAGCGCCCGACTGCGGGGAGTCCAGTGAGCCGGAGGGTTAACCCGCCCCCAGGCTCCCGCCTCCTCCTGGCCTGCCCACACCAGCCACTCACTCACCTTGGCCAAGGGCAGCACCATGAAGGCCCCTCCGCCGCCGGACTCCACGATGATGGCCACGAACTTGGGGTTGACGGCGCAGAAGGAGCTGTCCCACGTCACCTTGGACACCCGGATGTCCTCGTACATCTGGTCGGCCTTCACCGGCTGCCCGAAGACGTGCCGGAACTTACTCTGGCGCACCACCCTGCGGCTCATGGCTGGCGGGAGATGGGGGGGTCAGCGAGGGAGCAGGCCCCCAGTACCGTCAGCCCAGTCCCCTCCCTGCCTGGCCTCCCCAGCCATCCACCTGCCTCTAGTCCCCAGGACACAGCAGGCCCCTGCGGGTGCCAACCCGGCAGAGCTGTGGGGGAGCCAGGGCTGGACGAGCTGGGGAGCTGGTTTGGGGTCCGTGAAGGAGCTCTCTCTGAACGTGGATTCCAGCCTCTCTCCTCCCCAGGCAGCTCAGAGGATCTGGCTGGAGACAGCAAGTGAGCGGGGTGAAGGGGCTGCTTGGCGTCTGTGCCCCATGGCGGGACACATCCCGCAGAGCAGGTGCTGGGGAGTTCCCAAAGTGCCAGCCCCCCATCCCAGCTGCAGCAGGAGCTCTGCGAGCAAGCGCCCCCCCCCACCCCCCGTTAGAAGAACAGCAGAGGCAACACCTGGAGCTGAGAGAGACACTGGGGAGCCAGGCAGAAGGGAGCAGGGCGGGAGCATCCCTCCTGGGGCTAGTGGAGCTCTACTTCCCCCGACCCTGCCTCTCCTGGGACAGAGCGGAGGAACGGAGCCCAGCCCAGAGAGCAGGTGCAGCCCCATGGGACGATGGGGCTCTGGATCCCTACTGCCCTGGGTCAGCCCATCGCCCCCATGGTCCCGCGGCCACTGCCCTGGCCAAACCCCAGCCCTGATCAGGCAATTCCATTCAGACTCCCTACCACCAGGCTCCCGCAGCCTGTTGAATCAGAGATTTTGCCTCACTTCCTGCCCCAAACTGCTGGCAGCATTGCTGTGCAGGCATTAAACAGCCACCACATTAGCCTTCAGAGGTGGCTGCATGTGCGCGGTGGGTAGATGTGGCACCTTAGAGACTAACAAATTTATTAGAACATAAGCTTTCGTGGGCTACAACCCACTTCTTCGGATGCATATGGGTTGTAGCCCACGAAAGCTTATGCTCTAATAAATTTGTTAGTCTCTAAGGTGCCACAAGTACTCCTGTTCTTTTTGCGGATACAGACTAACACGGCTGCTACTCTGAAACCGGTGGGTAGATGGTTTCCCACCTGAAGAGTTCTGGGTCCGGAGAGCCCAGGATCATGGGGGAGGGAAAGGGGGGGGGCCCCCTTGCCTGGGTGGGCGCAGCCACGGAGCATCACTGCCATCCTGGCGACTGTGACCGTGACAATGCTGCCCCCCCAGCCATTCCCCGGGGGGCCCCCAACGCTGCCCCCTGATGGGAAGCATCAGCAGCACCGTGGTGTTGGAAGGCCCCTGTGGCTCCGGGCTGCAGCACATCTCCTCAGTAACACCATCTGCTGCAAGTGTATGGTCCTGCACCCTGCGCCGGCCTCATCGGCACCGATTCTGTGGGTGCTCCGGGGCTGGAACACCCAAGGAAACAAAATAGTGGGTGCTCAGCACCCACCAGCTGGACTTGGGGGAGGGCGGAGAGCAGTGAGCAGGCGGGGGCCTTGGGGAGGGGAAGGGGACCAACGGGGGAGGGGAAAAGTGGAGCGAGAGTGGGGCCCTGGGGGAAGGGGTGGAGTGGGGGCCTCAGGGCGCAGCACCCGTGGGGAAAAGTAGAAGTTGGCGCCTATGGCTGGCCTCCCGTAGAACAGAGTCAAGGGCAGAGTCTTGGGCCTGGTCTTCGAGGCGCTCAGCGGCCTGGGCTCAGCGTATCTAGAGGGGTCTATGGCTCCAGGCTCGGGACCGAGCTCCATAACTCCACCCCTCGGGCCCGTGGAACTTTCTACCACCGGGGCAGAGCCCAGCTGGGCAGCAAACAGAGCATCCCACGGGGCCGGTCCCAGACCCCCAAGAACTCAGGGCCACCCCAAACCTCCCCAGGGGCCCTGCTCCCACCGGCCTTCTCTGACCCAAACCCGGAGCAGCATGGCTGTACAGGGAGAGGAGGAACAAGCTGCTCCACTGCTCACACAGCTCTCCCCGAAGGAAGCACGTGCTGTCGCTGGACGGGGCTCTGACACCGCAGTGATGAGGGTGAGCCCTGCAGAGAGCAGGGCAGGGGGCAGCTGAGACATGCAGTAGCCTACAGGGGCCATTGGCCCCCATGGTGGGGGGCTGAGAGGGCTGGGAAGGTGGCCACTCGCCTGTAAGCTGTCTGGGCTGTGTTAGTACAGCACCTGGCACAACCGCCACGTAACCAAATACAACAGGGACTGCCAGGGGCGGAAGATGGTACAAAGTGGGGGGAGGGCAGCCTAAGGGGAGGTCTCTCTGCATGAGTCTGAGAGCACGGAGCCTGTCTTGGTGTGCCAGCGTGCTCACCCGCCTGGCCCTCCTCATGGCCTGCCATGGCTTTGCCACATCCCATCCCCGAGGGAAGGAGGGAACCTGGAAGCCATCTGCTGCCGGGCTGTTGCTGGGCTCTATGGGCACCTGCCCCTCTGAACCCTGCAACCCCTGGGGGGCTGGTGTTCTCCCCCAAGGCTAATCTGTGCAACAGGCCAACCTCCGGGCTAGGGGCAGCCATGAAGTCGGACATTGCTCTCAGCTCCTGCCCTGTCACGCCGCGCTGGGGCTCTCTGCCTGCCCCCTTCCCATCCCCTCCACTCCGCGCCCAGAGGAATAAACCTCCCAGAGACGCTGAGCCACGTTAGAGCAGATAACGAACACAGCCTTCCACAAGCTCCCAGCAGCCTAGGAGCTCCTAGTGCCAGCGCGCTGCCCCACGTCACCCCGCTTCACAGGTGGAGAAACTGAGGCAGGGGGAGGGACGCGACTTGCCCAAGGTCACCCAGCGGGCCAGTGGCAGGGCCAGGAATTGAAACCTTTGGCTTGCTGCGGTTCATTGGTTCTCCTGTCAGCAGTGTGGCCAGAGGCCTGCGCTGAGCCGGGGCCAGGGGGAATCAAGCCCATCTTCCCCCCAGGCTCGGCCTCCCCCCCCGGCCCAGGCTGAAGGGGCACCTCACCCGACCAAGGCTGGGGGGCAGAGCTGACCAGCATCCCCCAGCGGGCGCCACTCGGGGGGGGGGCTCTGCTCTGCCCCCCAGAACAGCGGCGGGATTCTGGGGTCACCCCAGGCGCCCAGCCCAGCCCCCCTTCCTCCTCCCCGCTGAGCACAGCCCTGGGGGCCGCGCCTGCCCGCCCAGACCCCGCTGGGGGGCCAGGCCCAGACCCCCCCGGCATCCCCAGCACCAGCCCGGCACCGGGGGGCCCGGGCAGGATGGGGGGGGCACGTCGGTTATTCTGTGCCACGCTCCCAATTCAATCCCGCTGGCAAAGCCCCGCCTGCCCCCGGGAGAGGGGCCCGGGGCCGGCCCCACACCCCGCGGGGCCCTGAGCTCCCCCCGCCCCAGCAGCGCCCCAGGGAGCCGCGGCCCCCGCCCGTGACACCGCGGACGCTGCAGCAGCTAAAGAAGGAGACGCGGCGGCGGCGGCGGGACGAGCCGGGGTCACTTTCCTAATATAGGCACATCTCTGCCAGCCGGGCCGGGGGCACCCCGCGAGCCGGGCCGGGCCGAGCCGAGCCGAGCCGGGCCGGGATCCCCCCGCCCAGCCAGCACCGGGCTGCCCGGGACACGGGCTGGCAGCACCCCCCGCTCCCCAGCATCCCCGGCCCCATGGGGCGCGGGCCGGGCCGGGGCCCCTCACCTGCTCCGGGGCGAGCTCGGCTGCTTTGCCCGGCCCGCCGGGGCGGCTCGTCTCGGGCTCGCGGGCTGCGGGCTCCGGGGCGGAAATGGACGAAGCGCTTCGTGCGGCTCCAACCGGCCCAGCCCGCGGCAGCTGCTGCCAGCCACGTGCGGCCGGGCCGGGGAGCGACAGCTGCTGCTGGGGGGCAGGGCCCCCGGCCGGGGGAGGGGCCGGCGGGCACCAGCTGCTGCCCCGCCCCAGGGGAAGGGCTGCCCCCCCCAGGGGCCCCCCTGCCCCCCTGAGCTGGCCCCCCCCCCCTGGCCCCCCCCCGCCCGGGGGAGGGGCGCCCCCCCCCCAGGGGAAGGGCTGCCCCCCTGAGCTGCCCCCCAAACCCCAGGGGAAGGGCTGCCCCCTCTTGCCCCCCAGACCCAGGGAAAGGGCTGCCCCCCTGAGCTGCCCCCCAGGGAAAGGGCTGCCCCCTCTTGCCCCCCAGACCCAGGGGAAGGGCTGCCCCCCCCCCCGACCCCGGCGCAGCGCCACAGGGGGCCTCTCCCCTTCTGGCAGGCAGGCCTGGCAGCACCCAGCAACTATGGGGGGGGGGGGAGACAGGCTCCAGTTGGAGCGGGGGCTCAGGAGGAGGGGGGGGTGTGTTTCTGCCCGGCTGGGTCCACTCGGAGGGTTTGGGTGTCACCAAAACAATCCATTGGAGAAACCTAAGAGCAAACTGCTGGTCCCGCCGCTAGTCTGAGTGGGGCCAGCCCTGGGGGGCCGGTGAAATCATTGTACAGCCAGCTGATGGGCCGCCGTGGTGGCTTGTGGGCTGCCACACCCACGTTGACTGGCGGGACCCCCCCGACAGCTGGAGCTCACCGCAGAGCGCCAGGCTGGAGGGACAGACAGGTCGCAGCAAGTCTCAGCTAGGTGCCAGAGCAGGCAGCCACGAGGGGCCACGCCCATCAGACGGTAATGAATTCACCCTCCCACCCCCACAGAGGCCACTGTTGCCCCCATCACGCATAGGGAAACTGAGGCACGGGGAGTGTGACAGAGTCACGTGGGAGCCAGTGGCTGGCAGGCATAAAGCCCCACAGCCCCGTCTCCCCATCTCTGCTCCAACCGCCAGGCACCGCTGCATCCGGGCACATGCGGTGCGGGGGTCGCGTAGCCTGTCACGTCCCCTCCTGGCTCCAGCAGGCTGAGCACCCAGAGGTGAAGGGGCAGCATCTTGACCCTATGGGGGTGTGTCCCCACCCCCAGCGGGAGGGGAGGGAGTGCTCTGGGAGTGGGGGGGATATGGGGAGCAGCCACACCCCCCTTCACACAGCGGTGTTGGGGTGACCGCAGTGGCTGCAAAGCAGGAATGTTGCTGCTGCTCCTCGCAGGGAGGGGTGAGGGACAGCCTGGCACTGGCTGTCAGCACCTGTGATGGGCCAACTCATCCGTGGGTCCCACCCCGGCAGCTAAGCCCTCCCGCGAGGCACCAGAGAGCGTGTGCACCATCACAGCCAGCCCGGGGCCCGGCCCGCGTAGCAGGCACAGCGTGTGCCACCCCACCAGGGCAGCTCCTAGAGCCCCCGAGGAGGCGGGCGACTCTCAGGCCCACACAGACAAGGCCAAGAGTGGGGAGCGAAGGGAGGCTCAGAGCAGAGCCGGGACCGGCCCAGGGACAAGCAGCAGAGGCAGGAACAGAACCCAGGAGTCCTGCTTCCAGGGCCTCTCCCTGGCAGTGCTGCCCTGCACTGGGCTGGGCACTATGCGGGATGAGCCGGGACTCTGAACCTGGCGGGAAAATGCAACGTCGTTAGCACAACTCTGGCTCAGAGGGGCTGGGGGGGAAGGAACAGGCCTCAGGTCCCGTGGGCGGCAGCGAGCCCCTGCTGGACACAGCCCAGCCAGAGCCCTCGGCCAGGGCCCCGGTGCCAAATGCCGCCAGCGCAAGGCATTCTGGGAGAGCCCGATGCTACTGGGGCTCGGTCTCTGCTTGGCTGCAGCCCAAGAGCAAAGCCGCAGTCAGCAGTGTGTTCTGGTAACGTTCCCTGCACACCAGCAAACCCTCAGCACAGCAGGCCCAGCCCCCTGCAGGGCCTGCAGCCGCCCCCGGGGGATTAAGGGGCTCAGGCTAGCCAACGAGGGAAGCGATGCCCTGGCTCCAAGAGCGGCAAGGGCCCTACAAGGGCACCAAATGGAGCTTCATGGGGACTGGGTGAGTAGGAGCGAGACAGGACGGGCACAGCCCCAAACCCTCCCACTCCCAGCACCTGGCCCGGGCCGGCACTGCTGGTGGAGGGCATGGTCACCTCAGGAGCTGCACCAGCCCTCGAGGGACGAGGGCAGAGACCCTGAGCCACCGCTCGGTAGGGGCAAGGGGACCATGGGGTGGAGGCAGCGCCTGGGCCTGCCCTGGCCCCATCTGTGCACACTGCCCTTTACCCTCTCTGCTGACTGTGCAGCGGGTGGCTACCACAGAGGTGCCCCACAGGCCAGCGGGGACGTGAGCACCCTGGCTCCACAGGAACCACCCTTCTGTCTCCCACCCAGCTCCCAGATTGTCCACGCGGACGCCTGGGCTCCGAGAAAAAGCTGTTGGTGCCCAGCACCTCGGCTTCAGCCTCCTCGGGCTCTTGCTGGCCCAGGCAGGCCGTAGGTCCCAGGGTCATCGCAGCACTGGGGAAGGTAGGAATATCCCCCCAATGCCAGCCTGGCGCTCAGGGAGCAGGTGAGAGGACAGGGCCATGGGAAAGCCCTGACCACAGCCCCTCTGCCACCTCCGCTCTGGCCACAAGGGATTGAGTTTGGAGCCAGCTCAGCCCACCCACTCCCTTCCATCCCATTGCTCTCCTCTGCACTGCCTGTTTGCCAGCCGCTGCAGGAACTCTGGCCCTGGCATTAGCACCTGGGGCAGCAGCATCGCCTGGCGTCCTGCGGGGAGAGACGGCCAGTGAGAGGGCAGCTGGCTCTGGGGAGAGGGCTCGGGGTCTGCCCCAAGGGGGGAGACAACAGAAGAGACGGTGCTGGGTAAAAAGGGGATTTGCTGAGGAAGCTGGACCGTGCCTGGCTGTTGGCAGGGAGCGTCAGGCTGGGCATGTTGGCCAGGGGATGGAGGGATGGCAGTTTGGGCAGCTGGGGAAGGTGTTTGGCCCTGCAGGTGAGGAGCTGGCGCTCGCATGTGGACCCACTGGAAAGAGGCGCAGCGGCAAAGGGGAGGGTGACGGCTGATGGTGGAGGAGGGGCTGATGCCCGTTGGGGTGCCAGGGGGTTGTTGGAAATCTTTTTACCGTGCTGGTGATTTAGTGTCCCCCCCGGTGAGGGGGGGATGCTGCTTTCTAGTGTAGTGGATTTGTTCTATTGGACGTTACTTTATATTATCACCTCCCCCCTCACGCCCCAGTTCTGGGTTTTTCCTTGCTAACGGGGGAAGGTTTTCTCCATGGGGCTGGGGTGCCTGTGTCTCTTGGCCTTCCTGGGGCAGCAGAGCCCAGGCCAGATGTATGTGCCTGGGGCATTGGATGGAGCCTGGCCCCAAGAGTAAGGCAGGAATTCTGACTGATCTCCCTCCCCAACCCGTTCACCCTTGGCCTCTCCGCCGGCAGCCTGCGCCATCCCCGCTGGAGAGCTCCTGGTCCAAGCAGGCCGACGCTCCTGGCGTTTCCTCCCCTTGTGTCCATGGCGGCTCGGGCTGCATTAGCGCTGCGCAGTGGAGGCTCGTTGGGGTGGATAACGGGGACGTGCCTGTGCCCTTTGCCGCCGGAGGAACTTGTCCAAGATCAGACGCAGGCTGACACCCAACGCTCTGGAGTGGGAGAAGCCGCTCCCTGCCCTTGCCCAGATCTTGCTCCAGGCCTGAGAGGTTCTTTCCCAGCCACGGCCTCTCGCCTAGGCCGGCTGGTATCGAGCCCACCGTCCTCTCACACAGCCGCAGGTGAGACTGGCCCACAGCTGTGTTCTAGGCCACGTACAGCAGGGAATAGGCCAGGGGCAGCAGCCCCTCAGCTTTGCACTCTCGGCGGGGCGGACATAGACTTAGAGGAGGCCAGGCCAGGAGCTTTGGATTAAGCGGATATCCCAGAAAAGGAGTTGGTGGGTGTTTTGCTGCTGGAGGCTGCGGAATGGGCGGCTGTGGCCCCGGCTGTAGTGCCGGCAGCCTGTAGGGCACCTGGAGGACAAATGTGAGGATAGAGGCCGGGGCCCAGGGACCAGGGAAAGGAGGAAGATGGGGAAGGTCGCCCATGCGTGATTTGCTGGGGATGCATTTTGCTCTTACAGCTAGAATCCCAGTCCTGCTCCTTGGTATGCTAGTCCGGATCCCACCAGACCTGGCCCGGCCCCTAATGCAGGCCCCGCCCAACCCTCAACAGCACCTCAGTGCTTCTTACGCCTTTGAGTTGAATAGTTCGGTTTAACCACTATTCCCTTCAGCTCCCTCTTCCCCTTCGACCCACTAGCCCAGTCGCTGCCTTTGGACAAGCTGCAGAAGCCAGACTCCTCTGTGGGCTGCTCCGAGTGCCAGCCGCGCCCCAGCTAACAAGGGAATCCGAACGCGCCTGGATAAATGCCTCATCCCTGCAGGATGGATCAGGAAATCAGAGGGTGGGGGTGATCCTTTCTCATTTAAACCCTAAGCATGCAAGATAGGTGCCTGGTGCATTTCATCTGCCGGATCCCCACGCACGCAGCTCAGTGAGGCTGGCTGCCTGGCTAGCAGGGCTGCCCCAAGCTCCCAGGGAAGGTCAGTACCTCGCCCAGCTGCAGGTTCGGAAGAAACGTGCAAGTCGTAATAGCCAGGGCCAGGATGCCGGGGACCTTTCCGTGACCAGCTCTCCCAGCGCAGCTTGGGGGACGCTAGTTCGGTGTTGGATTGAGAGAACGCCACCGACTGAAATCACCGCCCCCGCTTCCTGCGGCGTTAAGGACGACTGCTCCTTGGGGGCCTCCCATCCCAGCAGCGACCAGGCCTGCCCCGGCGTAGCTCCGAGGGGTGCCTTAGGTGCAGAGCAATGCGGAGAGGGGACAGGAGTTTGGCTGGAGCGGTTCCTGCACTGGGCACCTCCCCCATGGCCTAGGCAAGGGCAGGCAGGACCCACGGCAGAGGGCCAGGATTCTGCTTCTCGGGGCCCGGGTTACACCCAAGGATTTCCCAGGAGGTGGGGAGGGGAGATGGGGCTAAGGGCATGTTTCAAAAGCACTTAATGCTGGCTGCCCCTGCTCCCAGGACTCCTGCCAATCACAGCTGGTCGAGGTGCTAGAGACCCCCATCCCTAGCTTGACCGTGTCCCCATGGGCCACGTGATCCTTTGCATTTCCCCACAGCAGAGGGCAAGGAACCCGTGGAGCAAGCTGCCAAGCCCGTCTCTTGCTGCCTCCTTCTCCTAGGAGATCTGCTTTAGCCAGCGCAGGTCACGTGAGCTTAATGCAGGAGCAACTGGACGAAATCCCACAGCCTGGGTTAGCTGGGAGGTGAGACGAACACAGGTCGTCACGTACCAGCTCAGCCTGGCAGTGCCTGGCTAACAGCACCCTGCTCATGCTCACCACTCCTGCCCGCGCTGTGAGCAAGATGGCTCACGTTTGAGTCCCATGAACCCCCGCACAGTACCAGCCCTGTCTCCTTCCCCTCCGCCCCCCAGGAAACTGAGGCACCCACATGCTTCATCTCAAAATAAAAATTTATTCAGTAACAAGAACATTGAATCTGCACATCAGTGCACGAGTTCACATTTCCAAACAGCCAAGCACGTGGGTACGAGTCTGGGACCAGTGGGAACATCCCAGTGGCGGTGGAAGATCAGGGGAGGGTACAAGACGAAGTGCCCCCCCTCCCCAGTCCGGAACTCCATTTCCAGCTGTCTCCGGGGCAGGTGCTGCAGGGCCCCTGCGAGGGAGCCTGCCTGGCTGTGAATTCTGGAGCAAGAACAGTTCCTACAAACCAATGCACGGAAGTCACAGTTGTAGGAAAAAAACCAAACCCAAAAGGCACTGGCACGTGGGTCAGAGCCCAGCAAGGATCTAGGTGTGTGTGGGCTGAGCTCTAGCCTCCGCCCCAGCACCAGCCTCCCAGCGTGTGTGTGTGTGTGTGTGTGTGGGGGGGGGGGGGACCTCTGCCAGCTGCGAGGGGTTAAGCCTCGGCACCCTTCCTGTCTCCCGCACCAGGCAGGCTCCTGCAGATCCTCCTTCGGGAAAGGGATGTGGCATTCTGTTGAGCTGGGTCACCCATCTCGGGAGCAGGTCACTCACCATAGGGGGAAGCGACATGCACCCCACTCCCAGACAGGCTGTGCACCGCAAGGAACCTGAAACGACAGGCTGGGGGCGTTGTTACTGCCCCTGGGCATGTGCCTGGGGGGGGCTCAGGCTCTAGACAAGCGTGTACCGGTTTAAAACCCACGTCCTGATCTCGGCTGTCATCTGGAGGGAAGCCTGAGGTGTGCCAGGAACAACACGGAGCTAAATCCCACCCTGTTGAAATAAAGCAGGGAACCAGACCCAGGGCTGACCTCGGCATTCGGACGTGCACTTGGAATAGGCCACCACGACTGAGCAGAAGGGGATTTTTTACACATTTTCTTGAGCGGCTCAAAGAAAGCTACGTACGCATCAATGAGTGCAACAGACCAGTTCACGTTTCACGCACGCGCACACACGATCCGGGAGGACCGAACACCATGACACCCTCCGTGCAAGGCTCGCACGGCAGGCAATTGACAGTACAGCCGGAGCTCGGGGGCAGAGATATTGTCCAGGAGTCAGGGGCACAATGTAAACAACGTATCCTCCAAGAGCTTTGCAAGAGATCAGCAGAACGGCGGCTTTGTACAGAAATGCCCTTCATGGTTCTTTAAACATTTGTCACAAGCCCCCTCAGCGGCAGAGGGGACTGGGCATGCTGCTGCGTCCTCTCAGCCAGGACAGCACCTGCTCTGCCTCGACCTGTGTCAGTTCCCAGACTGATCACCTGGGGCATCTTGGCCAAGCCACGCTGTAACCACAACAGGCTCCCAGATCCCACCCTCCAGCCATAAGCCAGCAGCGGGCGGAGAAGCCACTGCTCACTCAGGCATGCCAGAGCCGGGCTGGGCTAGAGCAATGGGTGAGCGGATTCTGGCCTAGCATCCTGGTGCTGCGAACAGGCCGACAGCTTCATGTGGTCCAGCCAGAATAGCCGTGCCACGCTCGAGCCATGGGTGCCCAGCACCCCCACAGAACATGGGGAAGGGGCAGGCGCCAGCTCTGTGAAGAAGCAGAGTCCTGCGGCAAGATTCCTGAGCCCCTACTTCTCTTCAACCCCCCTTTCCGTCCTCCCGCGGGGACTCTTCCTGCAAGCCAACTGGGGGTTTGTTGGCAGGCCGCGTGCCTGCGCTGGCTAAGGCAGCTCTGTACGTTTGCACTCCACAAAGCCCAGTGCTGGATGGCAAACAAGGCACTTCCATTGTCCTCCTCACAGAGCAGCCCCAGCCCCTTCCCAGTGCTCCACGGCCCACGGTCTGCCTGGGCCAGCGTTTCAGCCACGGCCCCTCGCAAGTTCTGGGCTCCTCAGGACAGTCGCTGCTGCTACGTGATGAACTCTGGCGCTCAGAACCGGCCCCGCTGGACGTTGCTCCAGCCGCGAGTCCTGGCAGGACCCAACTGAGCTCTGCTCTCAGTGACTGCGCAGCACTGCCTGAGTCGGGCATTGCCCGTTTCACCTCACCCTCAAAACTGGTGTGCGCACAGCACCGTCGATCCTGTAACGCCGCCCTGGCCAGGGCTCAGCCCCATTGCAACGAGCAGCTGCTAAGAACGCCAGGGGGTTTGCTAGTTGCGTAGCCAGCGCGGTTAACAAAATGCCAGGCCCCACCAACAGCCCCCTGGTGGCCCAGCACCAGCACTGCAGGACGGCGAGTCGGTGCTCACAAACGAGCTGGAATTCGCTAGAGGGGACATTTGTGAAAGGTGCTGCTGTGCACCACTGGAAACCAGCCGCCAAGGGCCAGCTGAGCCCTGCCCTGTGCTTACTCTCGAGCAAAACCGGCTGAACCTCAGAGAGGCTCTGAAATACCATCCCGCCATTCTGCAGTGGAAGAGGGGAACGTCCTGCCACAGGGGCTCTTGCAAGACTTAAGGGGGATGGAGACATTTGGCAGAAGCGGGCAACGGGCTCTCACTTGCTGGGAGAGAAGACAGCTTACAAAGGGAAACCCACTCAAGCGTTCGGGCAGAGGGCAAGGGGCCCCTGTTGGGGGGGGGGGGGGGGGGGGGGGGGTTGTTTTCCAGTTTACAGAATGCAGTCTTGTCCTTTCAAGAACACAATGTAAGAAATAACAAAAGTTATCTAGATAAATACTGTATGTACACAACTGAGAGGGGAAAAGGGAACTTCCAGACAAATCATTGCTCCAGGTTAAGTGTTAAGGTGAGAGCAGAGCGAGGGGAAACATGTAACAATTACATCAGCCTTCGGGTCTGAGAGCCAGCTGAGAGTGTATGTGAGTGTGGGGAGAATCACTCCGGCAGCACTAGAAAAAACAGCTCTGGGTGGGGGACAGAAAGGTGAACAGATGATATGGCCATTAACTCAGAAGGCCCACAGCAGTATTCAAGTAACGAAAGGGTTAAAACCCTATAGAATTGTTTGTTTTAAAAGAACACACGTCAGTTTTCCCCCCAGTTGCTGCTGTTAAAACGGGTTCTTTTAGATTATGAAATTCAAATGAATTTGGCAGCCCCAGGTTCGGAGCAGAGGAGAGGCTGGTTCTGGGAGGGGTTGCTGTTTGAAGTTTCTAACCACATTGGTCATGACACTTTATGCATGGGGGGGGGGGGGGAATCACATTGGAGCCACTCCCTGGAAACAAACCATGCACCTTGGGCAAGTTTGCATTCCAAAGTTGGAGCCACAGCGAGAGACTGAGAAGTGCAGCCCAGCCATCAGCTGCCTTTGGGCTACAGGCACAAGCCAACCCGACGGGTTTGCACTGAGGCAGTTTCAGAAGCCATTTGTCACTGTTGTGGAGTTCCAGTTAGCTCGAAGTGGATCAAAAAAAAGCCACGAACAAACCTTGGCACAACCTTCATATTTACACCAGCTGCCACTCCGGTAAGTGCCCCAGCTAGCACCAATTTGTGTGTGTGTGTCTTCAAGTTATTTGTGACTTGGTTCCAATCTAACCTAGCCCTCACGATTTCACCACACAGAGATGAGCCAACTGCCAACAGCAATGGTCACTTATGAAAGGTGTTCTTTGAAAACAAAGAATATTTGAGGTTATTTGAGTTAAAAATAATTAAAAAAAATAACAAACGGTCTTGCAGTCAGCGTCCCACACAAAATACAACCCAAACCTACATGCGCCAGGAACAGTAAAATGACAAAATATATAAAATTAACGAATAAAGTGCATGTTCCTTACATATTACACCTGCCCCTTGTATGAACACAACAACATGGGTTTGGTTTAAAAAAGTCACAGGTGAGGGCTCAGGATCACATGGTATTATAGAATGGATTGCTTGTCCGCTTTTTGTCGTTAGCCTTTTTTAGTCTCCTCAGAGGGTGAGTTCTACCATGTTGATGTCTAGGTGCTCCAGCCAGGCTTGGAGCCGGGAGCCAAGAGTCTAGTACCTGCGTCTGTAGCAGCGGAAGACCCTCTTCCAAGCTAGTCAATCTAGGATCTGCGCTGGGACACACACTCTGCGGAGCTGAGCAGAACTCTTTGGCATACTGCACGGGCGGCCTCTCCACCGGCTGGCTCTGGGCAATGCACTCAGTTGTTTTAAGCTGCTCTACAAAATGCTTGGTGGGCTTTGGATCCTGGCGAATAAGGGGAGAGGAGGCACAAGGCTTTTCAGGTGGGCCTTCCAAGCCGTGCTCGGCCAATGCCCCACGCTTGCCTTGACCAGTCCTCGGGGAGGCGGGCAGCAAGTCAGGACAGGTCAGGCTGGCATGGGAAGAGGCCGACTCCCTCTTGGTTAAGTCATCTTGAGAGAGTTCCAGGCAGCCCAGCTTGGCTAAGGATGCCGAGCGTTTCATCTGGGACGGCGTGGTAAGCCCAGCTTGCCGTACCCGAGCCTCAAGTTCCTTCGCACGCTGCTTCACTGAGCTGGGAGTCTCACTCAGGTCTTTGATGCTGGGGCTGTTGGAGCTGTGGGGGAGGCTGCAGGGGAGGAAAGAGACATCCATGGCTTCAGTGCTGTCACTGATGAAATGCAAGTCCTCGTTGCTCAGCTCCATCAAGGCACTGTCACTCGCCTCGCACAGGACATGCCTGTTCCTTGAGAGGCTGCTCGGTGCCACTGGCTCAGCGTCCGTGCTTGTGCTGTGCTCCGTAACGCCCTCCAGATGAACGACACGTTGGTGCCAAAGGTCATCCAGGCCCGCTGAAGGCGAGCACGTCACCTGGCCAACGAACGAAGAGGTATCCAGGTTAATCAGTGCCGCACCGAACTCTTCCTCGGGGCTGCCCAGGGTGAAGGTGGCCTGCCCGATCTCCTTGTGCTCTAGTACCGAAGGGTTACGCAAAGGCAGAGCATCTGGATGTACAGGTGCCGTCTCCGCGCACACCGAAGGGTTCAGGTTTTCATCTACTGGAAGCATCACTGCAGTGTTCTCCAGCGTGGCCTGCTCACAGCTGCTGTCACGCTCCTGGAGATCAGGTGGCGTGCCCATGGGGGTGTACTCGATAATTTCTATCCTCTTGGGGAGGTGACAGGGCAGGGCTGGCTCCCCAGAGCCATCCAACGACACCACCGTCCTGAGCACTTCCTGCTCAGCCTCAGGCTCTGCCAGCGGAGACGCCTGAGCCGGCTGCACAAGGCAAGGGGCGAGTGGTGGGGACAGCTGCGGGTCAGCCGGCGGTTCAGGGCCATGAGGCAATGCACCCTCGGCTGCTGGGCTCTTTGCCCTGGCCTTGTCGCTCTCATTCTCTCTACGGGAAGGATCCAGCTCCCGCAACGGTTCCTCGGTCTTTCCCTTTGGCGCGAGCTCGGCAGCTGCAGAATCATTCTTGGAATTCTTGCGAGTAGGTAGCAGGCACATGGGGGGAACATGCTGGTGCTCTTGTTCCTGTCTCAAGCGTTCCTCAAATTCCAAGGTGGCACGTTTAACAGATCCCGGACACCACTTCGACCCAGGGTTCAGACCCTGCACTCGAGGCTCCTGCTGGTCTTCTGCGGGATCGCTTTCTTCCACACCTGACACGCAGGTAGATGGTTGGAAGGTGGGAGCACCTTCCTGGTCTGGTTTTGGAAAGTCTTTTGCCGTTTCCTGCTGTGCAATGCAAGCTCCTTCGCTCTGCTCAGCCTTCCCAGGTTTATTTTCAGATGCCCAGACCACCTCTACAGGCAACTCATGGACTGTATTCCTCTTTGGTGCTTGGGCATGGTTGGCTGAGCCCTCCATCTTCTGCTGGCATGGTCCTACGCCCTGGTTGATGGATTCAATTTCAGTTATGATTTCTTTCACAGAGATTGCATTTTCCGAGTGGGATCTTGTGAGAGGGCCCATGGTGGTCAGTTCAGAGATGTCCTGCAAACACAGAGAGACTTATTACAAAGCGCACAGCAGCCTTGCTGACAAAACACCTGCCGTCAGACAGCCTGAACTGCAACGCACACACATACAAGAGAAAGAAAAAGGCCCCGGTGCTAATGCAGCGTAATGGGCGCCAGGATCTCACTCCAAGCAGGCAGCCTGAGATGCTCACTACTGGAGCAGTTCCACAGGTGCTCTGGTCTCAAAACTTTCCAACCAGGATTTGCCACTAGCCTAAGGCATTTAGATGCCAGGAGATTTAGGCACCCAACTTCCATGTGCTTCTTACTTAACATGCATTCGAAGGCAAAACTTGGATCATTTGAAAAGAGAATAAGAGCGAGAGTTCTCACCCTGTACAGAAGAGGAATGAAAAGGACTATGGATCGCTTTAAATCCAACCACCAGGCCGGATCCGTACACTAAAGGCCGGATCCGTACACTAAAGGCCCTTGTTGGAGTCTAAACGTTCCACAATTTCCACTGGAGTAGCAGCTCGGGATGCTAGAGCAGCGACAGGGCCACTAGTAAGTACGCTGTCAATTGTGCCTTGGGGGTACTGGACTAAAATATTAGGTAGGACCAAACAGGCTTGGCCCAAGATGGAAAGGAGGCAACCAGTGCTGTACTAACCAGAAGAGAAAACTATTCAAGTAAAACAGTTTCCCAGGAAAAAGCAGGTCTGGGATTAACCAAGATCACAGTCAGAACTGCCAGCCTGGTCTGACTGGAGAGAGAACTAGGGCTGATTCCCAGCACCCTCTTTCACTGGGCCCAGCAGAGAAAGGAGGCAGGAATTCCGAATATTGGGAGTTAAACTACGTCAACCACCTGTCTCCTGGGGTGCACCACTGAACGTCGCGTGTATCACACTCCGATATCTGACAAGGGACAACGGCCATTAGTAGCGACTCTCCAAGCGAAAGGTGAGAACATTCAATCAGCAGCCATAATAATCAACCTTTCAGCTACCTCGGTTAGAGAGTCTAGATCCCATTCAACAAGTCAACAATTTACACATAAAAAGCATCCTCTTGGCCATAACCCCCTTGAGCTCTCCAAGGACACGGGTTACCCTTCTGCCGCCGAGCTGCAGTCCGAGTGGTGCATGGAGAACTGGCTGCAGCACTTACTACATTTAAAAAATCCTCCGTGGAAGATAGAAAATGGAATAAAACCTACAACTCAACCAGCGAGAGCGCTCTGGGAGAAGCAGCCAGCACGCCACTGCTGATCGGCCATAGCCCACTAAGATACAAGATGTTTAGGTCTAAAGGGCTCTAGCTTCCTTCTTCATTCTGCATGGCATTAAGACTCTAGACAACTGCCAATCAGAGGGCACCTAACTGCAGTGTCCTGTTCCCACCTGTGTCCTTGCCCCTCGAACAGATGCCCTGCCGGGCAGACGTTACGTTTATATTTTTGGGGTGGGGGTTCATTACTCATGAAAACGAACCACCGATAGCACTAGTCACCCAATCCTGACCTGCAGCTCCCCCCACTTGTATTCCAGTGCTGGGCTCCCCACACACAGCTCTGCCAACGCCTTTCAGTCCTGACCTGCTGCTCCCCTGCCCCCCGGCTATTCCAAGGCTTGAGAACCTTTCACACAGCTCTGCTGGTGCACCTCAGTCCTGATCCGCAGCCCCTCTTCCGTTCTGTTCCAAGTCTGGGGTTCACTGCCTGTAGTTCTGCCCAGGCTCTTCAATGCTGACCCTCCCAGCTTTGCTACCCAACAATCACTCCCACAGATCTACCGCCGTCCCTCCATCCCGATCGGATACCCCAGGCCTGGAGCTTTCCACCCGAGAACGTCGCCGATTTGGTCAGGCTGTTTGGTGGTGTTTATGCTGGGGACAAATAACTGCACTAGCTGTGATTCCCAGGCTAGGGGCACGTGCTTGGAGTTGAGAAGCTCACAGTAGCTGTACTACCACCACCTCGCTGCTCTCCTTATGCAAAGCTTTACATCTAAGAGTTTATCACATTAACTGGAAGACCAGAATGTTGCCCATCTTTCCACTGCATTAACCATACAGCAAGAGACTCCTACAGCCATCAGAAACATTCAAACAGCAGTTCAGAGGAAAGCAGCAAGCCACTGGTACCTTTGGTTGTTCCTCATCTGTGGAAGACTCTTCTGGTGCTGCAGGGGAGTTGCCTGCAGAGCTATTCCTCTGGGTATCGACAGCAGTCTCGGCTGGCAGCACCTCCAGCACAGACATCTTGGAGACCCCGTTCCTTCCGCTTCCCTGCTCGTCCATCTTGGAGTGAGAACAGGCGTGAGACCGGCTCTCTTGGGACAGCTCCTCAAACTTCTCTAGGGCACTGAGGAAATCAATCCTGTCTGTGGTTTCAGGCTGGGAACTGAGCTGTGGGCTTGGGGAATTCTGATCAGGCGACCTGGGAAGGTCTTTTAAACAAGCCGTGAATTCCTCCATGGGTACCAAATGCACGTTCAGGTCAGTTTTAAGAGCATCTGTCTCTAGATCATCCACGGTCAGATCAGGGAACGCTGTGGTCATCTCCAAAGGCTCTTCAAGTTGCATCAAGGCCTCAGAAGAATGGCAATTATCCAGGGGAAATTCTGACTCATCCAAGCAGCACCCTGCCGGACACCCGTTGATGTTGTTCAGGTTCAGTTCGTCCTCTATTTGTTCGGCGCGGAAGTCTCTGGCTGTGAACTCCAAACGGATCCTCCTCTCTTTGGCGCCCAGCTCCTCGATCACGTCTGTGTCCTGCTGGAGCAGACGGTCCACGTGCGGCCCCACTGAGAAGACGGGAGACGCAGGCTGGTGGTTGTCGTTTGCCATGGGCTCGGAGAGCTGCTCTGCGGAAGTGGTGATCTCCTTTTTGTTCAGCTCCATCCCGGGTTTGCAGATGGGCTGGTGGTGCTCCGAGAGGTCGCTATCCGAGTGCGACCGCCACAGCTTGTTATGCCGCTGTTTGCTGCAGGAGAAGGAGAACATTTTAGTCACTGTCAGACACCACCTGCGGCTCACACATGCTTAAAATACAACCCTGGGCCAAACCCAGGCTGGCATAAGTGTGTGTGTGTGTGTGGGGGGGCGCTTCCATGGTAGCCTCTGGGCCAGATTCAGCGGCAACAATCAGTCCCTTCCATTAAACGTGGTCAGAAAATGAATCCACCTGGGCCTAAGTGGCCAAGTTGGTGCCGCCGGCACCGCTCTAGCATCGCGGGCGAGCAGCTTGTATGCCACGGGGGCAGGGGACAGCAGTACAGTAGGAAAACCAACCAATAGGAAGGGGTAATACAAAGCAGGCCTCTGCCCTCTGCACTTTCTGCTCCCAGGGACAAGCTCCGCCCTGCGGGGGGTGAGTACAATTGCAATGGACCCCAGAACACCCATCTGTGTAAACGAGCACGGGGGTGTAAGTCATTTACACACATGAACCCCCAGTGGTTTGTACTGGCCCCAGGGAATTCTGCTCAACTTGGTCCTTTATCCGACTCCAGACGATGGACGTGTTGGAAGGGGAGAACACGCTGCAGGGCGACAGCCGAGGGGACACTCAGCGGGGTAGATGGGGGGCCCGGAACAAAAGGATGCCTGATTCCCCCCCTAGGGCTCCGGCACCCGTGGGGCAGGCTCTGGTAAATGACTGAGCTTTGGAAACCAGAGAGCGGGGTGGGGGCTGGGGACATCCTGCATGGTTACAGGAGGCCAAAAATAGCATCTTGTTTGCAGGACAGAGGCCCAGGACAGCCACCCCCCTCGCTGCTGGAAAACATCCTCGGGAGGGTCCCAGCAGTCACACGCTCGAGCTAACGGCATCAGCAGCACCTGTTCTGAGAACTGTTGTGTCTGCGGCCCACACAATGGGGCCATTTCTCCGAAGTGGAACCGGACCAATGAAAACACGTGCCCAGCCCAGCGCTTTAGATTTCCCTTCCTCTGCTTGCTGCACTTTCACCAGCTCCCCCTAGGAGGAGAGCACACACCGCAGCACGCTCCAGCTCGAAGGGACGCTGCGGACAGCCAGCCAAGTCTGTGGATGCCCTTCTGCAACCTCCCCTCCCAGTCGCCTGCGTGCGCGCTGAGATCTGCTGAGCACAGGTACGCTGCTTAGCTAAGACACCGGCACAGGCCTAACAAGGCTGCACGTTTCTGATGGGGAATGCCCTACTGCTGGGGGTCCTCACAAAATAACCCAGCGCCGAATTAGACTGCAGACCCAGCAGTCAGGCACCAAGAGTCGGTGTGTGTGAAATGGGGCAGGACCAGACCTATGAAGGGCCTGTCAGATACATGCACTTGGCTCCCGCTGGGAACGGACCCTGGAGACGGAGAGTATTTTGTCTACAAATATCCGTTAATGCAATGACGTAAAGCAGCGACTACCGCTCCTGGCAGTCACCACGTTTTCCTTCTGTTTACGAAGGATGTTGGGATTACAGCATGAGCCGGGACTCGGGAGGGCAGAGCTCCATGGAGGGCTCCCCGCCTGCATGTCCGAGGGCACACTGCTTTGTCTCTGTGCCCCCGGTTCTGGAAAATCCTTCTCAGGGACACTGTCTGGTTAAATACAAACGCATTGGGGCCTGGACTGTCTCTCGCTATACTCCCGTGTGCAGTCCAACGCACAGCACAATGTGCCCTGCTTGTGACTGGACCCTGTCTGGACACTACGGGCACACATCGGGCAGAGCTTTCTGGGCGGTTCATCACACAGTCACCAGAGAGGCGGGGCATGAACTCTGCAGGTGTGTTTTATTTTGAAATTCAAGTCACCTGTTTGCAGGAGTGTTTTATCTGCCTCCAGCAGAGCCTGAGCCCAGGTAACAGCAATAACCAAGCCTGATTTCACCCTGTTAATTTTTAACCTTGGACCTCCCCCATTGAGCAAGGATAAAAGGTGCCAAAAGCAGGTTCAAAGACCACAAACAAAGACTCATGTCTGCAAACCAACAGCCATTTTCTAAGACACCTGGATGAAAGCTTTGGCCGTGCTTCTCCTACACAGACGTCTATGCTGCTTGGCCTACTTTGTTCCACAGATGCACCCTAGCGCCCAGTTTCAGCTGAGAAATCAATGTGTCAACACAGACCTCTGCCTACAGAGCAGCTGGAGAGGGGATCCTGCCCTCTGGAATAGTAACCACAGCATATGCATGATTTCTGGAGAGACTCAAAGGGGCTCCCCGTCTATCTCGGGTACTTACACAGCTCCCCTTACCCCAGAATCAGAGTGCCTCTCAATCTTCACCAGATTCATCCTCAACACCCCATGAGGCAGGGCACTGCTGTTATCCCCATTGGACAGATGGGGAAATGGAGGCAGAGAGACTAAGTGACTTGCCCAAGGTTACACAAGAAGTCTTTAGCAGAGCAGGGAATTGAACCTGCATCTCTGGAGTCCCAGGCTAGTGCCCTGGACCGTCCTTCCTTGAGCTGACAGCCCAAACCCAAGCGTAGGCCGTCAGGCTGCCACGCAGCCTGGCTCCCCTGGTCTGGCCGCAGTTCTACTGAAATGTTGGGGGCAGAGGCGAGGGGTTCCCTGTTGAGCCTGCCGTCTCCATTCGGCCGGTAGTTCTAGAGCTCTCAAAGCAAACCCTCCCTTGCACTGGACACAGCAGTGAGATCTGCACCTTCACTTCCAGGGCCCTCGGTGGGATCGAGGACGAGAGTGCCCTCCAACCGGCAGGGATGCACTGCCAGCGCTCAGACCGGTCGCCCAAGGGGCTGGGGAAAAGGGGGTCTCCAGAATTCCAGGCCATGCTCAGGGTCGAGCAGAGCAAGTGGGCGCTGGCGCTCGCGTGGGATCGCTCGGCGCAGCTGGAGTGAAGGTCTCTCGTTCCCCCACCCGTGTCTCAGGCTGGAGCTGGGCAGAGTGAAGGAGCGCTCTCAGGCCCTGACGTTCAGTCACTTTCTCCGGTAGCTGTTCCCACGGCCGGCGGCCCCAGGTGGTTTGGTAAAAGGAACGTTCATGCTGCGCAAGGCACAGAACGGCCCTCGGGCTCGGCCCCTGCCTGACACTGTCGGAGCGAGCGCTGCAGCAGCGCGGTGCCCAAGCTTGCTAGGAGGGAGAAGAGAGTTTAATGAGGTGAAGGAAAGACTCTGGCCCTGCTGCTAATGGCTGACAGCTCCACGGAGCTAAACATCCCTGCTGCTGTGACAAAAGGAGCCAGGGGGCTCAGTGTTTACGGCTGGAAAGCAATATCCCGCTTACCACGCCCCCTTCACCTTCCCAACAACGTCACCAGCCTCGACTCCACCATCTGAGCAGTCACAGGAGCACGGATCTGCCCTGGGTTAATACAGCAAACAGGCCTGGGGGCCGCTCGAGGGGAGACCCCAAAGCTGCGACGAAAGAGGGCAGAGAAGCCTTTTGGAGCGGTGAAAGCAGACACACGGGGAATGCGTGGTGCTCCGAGGTTCTGCCTGCTGCTCTGCCCAGCGTGGCACTGAGCTCACCCCAGACTTGTTAGCCTCGTGCACTCAAAGGCCTCACGCTGCTTTGCCTTCGAAAGGCCTCACTGATAACCTCATTCTACTGGGGACCTGTCCAGAGCGGGCAGAGACTCGGCAGCTGCATATCCGGGGTGAGGGTGAGCCACGCATGGCAGGAGTGAAGGTGGCATTCCCATACTGGTTACGAATCAACTTTTCCAAGTCTAGCACAGAGGGAGCAAAGAAGAAGAAATCAAGACCTCATCACGCAGAGGCTTTCACTGACTGGATTTCCCGGTGTACTACTGGCTGCCAGACAAGCTCACTCTGTGACCTAGATTCGTAGAGGGCTTGAGGATGCGAAGTACTAGCCACACACCAAGTACGATTCTGTTCGCCCACATGGCAAGCCCTAGAGAGACAGACTGCATGTACGTCTGGGCTCCTCTTTCCAGAGCGGGACAGGTCAAACATCTCACAGCCGGATCAGCGTGGTGCTCTGCTCTTTTAACACCACCGCGTACATTTCCAGGCTCGATTCACCTTGCTCTGGTCCGAGCTGCATGCTGGCGAGTGCCGGGAAAGCCGACGATGTCCTAACGCACAGGTAACTGCCCGAGGATTAATCTGCGCCCACCTACAAACAGCCTGCAGCAGAGGAGGGATCCAGCACCAGTACTGCAGTCTGGCAGAACACGAAGTATCTTTGCCTTCCAGCAGGTCAAGTCAGGACATTGCTTAACGCCTCCTTTATGGGGATGTCCAGGAAACATGCAATATTGATGTCTTTTTACTAGTCAGCTGACAGGCCTCGTGTTACTAAACCCGCTGCCATGCCTTACCTCCCAGCTGAGCGGAAAATGCCATCCAGGAATAAACACTCGATGTTTAGACTACAGAGGAAAGGGGCTCCCCGCACTGCCTGCAGCAACCGTTCTTCAACCAAACAGCCTCGAAGCCATCGCATACATTGAGCGAGTGTGTTTCTAAAAGGGATTTGTGATGCTGAGACGATCGGGCCGTATTTCTGAGACGGCAGAGAGGGGCACTGGTTTCCTACTTAGCCATGCTGTAAAAGCTAGTGGAATCATTCGGTTCTGCTGGTGCCTAGCTCAAAGTTGAGATTAGGCCTGGGACACCTTGTCATGCCACTGGCTGCTCGGACGGATTACTCAGCTCCCCCGGCCCCCTGTGGAGCTTCGGGTGACTGGCTAAGGCTCCCCATACAAATGGAGCACTCTTCCCAACCCCCGCTCCTAAGAGAATGATGAACTTGCACACCCACGAAGGGAAGCACTGAATTAATCCAGTGTCCTGTGCCTTACTTTATATTGTAAATAAGGTTAAGATTTTGGCATGGGCAGGACATAGGCACTTAAAATTCACGGGCAGGACATGGGCAATAAACCATAAGTCACAGAAGCCCGAGCCCTGCACGGGGAAGCGGGGGTGGCAGCCCGAGCCCCGCACAGGGATGGGGGGAAGCGGGGGTGGCAGCCCGAGCCCCGCACGGGGGGGGGGGGGGGGGGAGGAGGTGGCAGCCGGCAGGGCTGAAGCAGAAGTCATGGAGCTCTGTTAAAGTCACGGAATCCGTGACCAAATTTGATCCTCCTTTCTAGCAAAGTGGAAGCATGTCAGACAGCTCTCTCAAGCACACACTAATTCTGAATGAGGCAGGAACACAAGCACCTGCCTACAAATGTGCTGGGCCGGCCACGTGGTCAGGTCAGACAGAAATGCTCAGTGACGGCTGAAAACAAACATAATTAAACCAAGGCTCCAAACCCCAGTGCACATGGTACAAAAACAAGATCAAGGCTGAATGTCAGCGACCACAACACGCAGTCCGGGGCTACACCCTGCTGTCGGCACAGCTGCCTGTGGCTTCGTACAGATGGGCAGCAGCGGAGGTTTCCGACGTGTGAGAGCAGACACACCCAGCTTCCCACACTCCTTTGCAGCACCCGTACAGAAGGAGGCACAATCCGCTTGGGTTCAGACCCTTTCCGGTTCTCCTTTCCCTAGAAGCCTGGGCCAGAGCGGGCTGGGCAATGATTTTGTGTTTAGGAAACACAGGGCAGGAGACAGAGATTTGTGCTCGAAATCTTACGGCCCAGTTCCCCCCTTGCCTCCGGAGCTCACCTCGCCAGCAGAATCCCTTGGTACTCCTCCAGCTGCCTCATGAAGCTTGGGTTGGGCTTGGTGACCGTGCGCCGTTCCTTCACGTGGTCATAGGCTCGGTCCAGGTTCCAGCCGTACTCCTTCATGGCATACGCGATCACCGTGGAGGCCGACCGGCTGACTCCCATCTTGCAGTGCACCAGGCATTTCGACCCGTTCTTCCTAGGGCGGGGAATGGAAAAGGACGATTTTAAAGCCTCCTCTGAAAAGCTCAGGAGAGGCAGACATTGTAGGGGAGAGCTCCAAGTTACCACACAGCTCTTTCTACGCACTTTCATTCTAAGGGAAAAGCATCCTAGAGAACACACAAAATATATCAGGAGTTGCCCATCAGCCTTGGGGGCCCTAGAACAGGGGTTCTCAGAACAATTTTTTGGATGGCCTCAGAGTGTGGGGCCAACCAACCCTTGCTGGTGGCCGCTCTGACAATTTTTGCAAACCCGAGTCCTGCCGCCACGGGCTGAAGCCCAGAGCCTGAAGCCAGCCGAGCACACACACACTGGCCCCATGTGCCTGCGGAGGGGCTGCCTGGAGCCCCCAGGAGGCTGCATGGTGCAGGCTGCTGATCCCCTGCTGGGGACGCCAGCAAACACCAAGGCAGCCAGAAGGAGCAGCTGGGTGCATTGAGAAACGCTGCCCTAGTAGATCCTTCCAGCCCTTCCGTGGGATTGGACAAAGATCAAGTCCAAAGGCCACGAGCCTGTTTCAACTCAGCCTTTTTGAATCAAAAGCCCCTGTCTGTTGGCCTCTGAAAGACCCAGGCTGAACCAGTCTATGCAAACCTCCTGGGTGGTACGTCTCTGGAGGCGTTTACAGTCTCAGCAACTAGCCTTCATCGCCCCCACCGTTATTAGCTCCCGGGAGAGGCGTGGTAACCCTCCCCCGGAGCAGAAGATAATCATGCATAAACCATTCATAAATTGAATAAAAGGGTCCCCCAAGATACTGCATGGGGTTGCAATATCTGTCACAATGGGCTTCTATATACCAAGCAGCTCCAGACTCTCACTGCATGAAGTCATTTTTCACCCCTGGCTCTCGTTCATTGCACAGAGCAGTCTTGGTACAGAGCTAGTCGTGAGGAGTTTGGTCTGGCTTGAGAAGGGTTTGCTCCATCGCCAGCAATGCAGGGGTTTTACTTCAGCAAAGTGTGAGCAGCAAACGAAGGAGCACAGGCTGTAATTTGCCTCGTCCAGCACGGACGTCCGCCGTACAGCTTTCAGAGTTCAGACCTGCCCCCGTGTTCTTTGCATACGCATGATAAAAAGGTATTTGTTAGTTACTGACAGGCCTCTGCGTCAAGGGAGTCTGTCACTAGGGCTGTAGTCTCACTGCAAAGAGCCATCTGTAAAAACACACCTCTATCTCCATCCAAGAACCTAGAGATCTGGAGGTACAAAACCCCCACACCTCTTTCGCAGCGAAGACTTGGCCCAAGATGCTTTATAACCCAAGTTACGCAAAAACTTGCAAATGTCAGAACTCCCCCTGCACCTGCCCCCGATGGGTGAGATTCTAGAAAAGCTGGGGCTGGGTGGGAAGGCAAGGTGGGACAGGCACACAAGCGCCAAAAGGGCTTTAACTGCCCCAACCTGGAACTAACTTGCCTCACACAAACTTCAAGCTTTAAACGTCGGGTGAATTCAGGGTGGGGAACAAAATGTGCCTCCTGAGAGGAGAATGTTTCTGACAAGGACAAGGTCCAAAGTCATTGCACCAAGGAGCTCGATGTGCTTTAGAAGTATATCTATAAATAGCGCTAGGGTAAATCTGAGAGGCTTAATGATTTGTTGGAGAAGGAGCCATTGTCAATCGGGTCATCAGCTCTAGGGCACGGGCAAGAGACAGATGCAAACCCCACACAAGAGAGGGTTAAAGGCAGTCCCTCGTTTGGAAATCCATCCCAGCCTGCTGGCAATGCATGTCAATTGCTTCTGTGACCAGCGTCTTCCTGAATCAGATGGCTGCTGGACTTATTATAGACAACCCAGAGAAGCAGCACACGTGTTGGCAACCCAATGGCCTCCAGCTACCAGACTAGAAGTGGCCGTTCAGATAGGAGGCCTAGCAAGCATCTTAGTACTAACGGACGAGGGTTTTATTCAGAGCAGTGTCTGCCTGCTTTGTACGCAGGGAATGATTTGGATTTTGTTCATGGTTATGTTGCTTTCCGGTGTCTGCTGACCTCTGCTTGTTTTACTGTTGCCTTGTCCTCTCAACTCGGCACGCCTGTTTCGCCCACGTGTCAACAAGGGAATAAGAACTCTCTCCAACAGCGACCAGATTCTTTGTTACCTGTCTGCCCGGTGCTGAGCACCATGGAGTGTTTGGGCTTCCTCAATGCTCTCCTAATATAAACCTGCCAGCGGGGATGCTGTGTAACAAGTAACCCCATTCCCTTTTGGCATTAACAGCTGTGTTTGCATGGCTCTATGTCCCTTGACATTTTACAGAAGTTTAACACCTCAGGTGGTTCTTAGTTTCTGAAGTCCTGGAAGCATCCCTAAGGCACTACAAATGCAGTGCAGCCGAGGGGACGACCACATAGCAGCGTTTTTCCCCTCTTACTACCATGTGCTTTTTTGTAATTCAGACAGAAAAGCCACTGCACACAGCAACAGTGGGAACGGAGAATGCAAATGTCTCGATCCTAACACAGGACAAAGGGTAGTTGGAAAGAGTGAAGGGCCAGAAGGAAACATTGCATTACTAGGAGCTTGCTGTATTGTGTTCGTTCTTTAAGTGCAGACTTACTTGGCTTTGGAGATGAATTTGTAAGTGTCATTCCAATACGCCAGCAGATCTGTAGCCTCCTCGTCGTACACCCGGATGTTATGGTACTCGAAGACGCCTGGGAAGAAGTTATCTATTTCTCGAGTCACATTCAGAATGTACCGCACCCTGTGTGGAAGCAGAGGGCAGATAAGATTGGACAGACCGTCTCTGCAAGGAAATGGCTTTGCCTTGTTTTGAATCTGTTTAGAGCCAAGCAGTCAGAGTTACACGACTACAACACAGAGCAAGTCAAACTGGGAGTTAGACTTCAAAGCAGGGAGGAAAGGATTGATTGCGAGGCCAGGATAAGGGTTTGCTGTGGAATTTCTAACCTAGTCTCTGTGGAAGGGGCTTCGGTCTGCTGTGAATGGAAACCGAGCCAGGACTGGCCAGCCTGCCCATTCAGCCTGCTCTGTATTGCACAGAAGGGCCAGCAGTGGTCACTTGGCACATGCTACAATACAGCTTCATCTCTTCCTGCCAGCTGGAATCCATCCCCCTGGGAGAGAGACAATCCCGTTTCCAATCTCTCTTCCCATCGCGCCCGTTACCAGCAGTGTCAGGAGACTAGGCGGTAAGGGCATTAGCCTGAAGGGCCCTGCTCTCAACAATACAGGACCCTCCTAACACGCCTCTCTCCTGGGTCCAAGCAGGAGTAGCCGCCTTCATGCTGGGATTTGCACCAGGCCCTTCACTTCAATCCAAGACACCAGACTAGCCTCAGAATTAAGGCCACAGCGAGCAACTCCTGATGGTTGCATAGATCGGACCCCCTCATATTCTGCAGCTGCCCAGAACCCAGAGAAACTGGAAGGGCGCTGCCTGTGGTTGGGGCGGATTTGATTCTTCTCCCCAGCACAGACCGTTCTGAGCAGTGAGTGGCTGAGAGAAGCACATGGTATTCACATGTAAGACACCCCGAGCCCCTAAACTCATGAGAGATCTGCAAGCCTCCATGTCTTAGCAGACACAGCAGCTAAGGGGAAAATGCCCTTTGCCAGGCTAGGAGCAGGTGTCGGGTGGTGAGGACTGAAAAGCTCAGCTCAGGATGAGGAGAGATTGCTGTAGCCAGTGGTTTCCCGGCATGTTCTGTCTGGATCGATGTGGCCTACAGATGGGTCGCCTAACCCCAAACCTTACAGCCACGAAGGGGGAACGTTACCCCTTTGAGCTGCAAGATGCTCAGTGCAGCCCCTGCTCTAAGGCAGCGACGGCTGCTTTGACACACACTTGCCTGCCCAGGTGGTGAGGAGTGCCTCCGTGCAGCGCATGCGGGGTCTCATCCCACCCCACCCCAGGAGAGCAGCATGCGGAGCCCAACGAAAGGCCCCCCAGAGAACCAGCTCTGCACTGTCTATTCGGTGAGGGAACCGCAGATCTCGGTTACCCGTTGCTATGTGACAGTCAGCTGCCTGCACTCGTCGGTGGGTTTCAGTCAAGGTCAGGGCTACCGGAGCCTTTTCCTTCCCTGTCTTCGTATGGGGGACTTGGGGGCTGGGGTGCTACTTTGCCAGTTCGCTGTCACCATGCTAGGTTTGCAAGCCCTTGGTTAGCACACAGCAGCAGCAGGTCTGGGATGGAAATCTGGTTGTGCAGGGACTTAGGTAAGGCAAAGCCTTCCCACCCATGCCCAGCAACTTGCATGCAGGGGCCTGCTACACAGCTCAAAGCTGCTTACCCTCTGTTCTGTAAATCTTCCAAATTGGAGGCATTCCACTCAGAACCCTGTGCAAAAAATAAAAAAGGGAGCATCAGCAGGAGTGAAGCGCAGTGTACACCACCGGGAGGGACGGCCCCCGCCAGCCGGGTGCGAGCTGCAGGGAGGTAGCTGGCCAATCCAGTGCTGTAAACTGAGATTTGTTGAAAATAGACGGTAAAAGGGGAAAAAAAAAAAATAGTGCTCATGTCTCAAAGCGCAGACACTTATCTCACTTTACAATCAGAGCTGCCCTGAATCAACAGGAAGCCCTGCAAGACAGACCCAGGTAGAGCCCTAGTTAGTTTCCTGCAAAGCCACTGAGAAACCTAGTTCAGAAAAATAAAGACAGGCCCCCTCCCGCACAAGACCCTGCCACTGACTCTGCCCCATGGAAGAGACGCTGTCTGCAGAGAGACAGAGAGAGTGTGTGTGTAAAACCACTGAGACCCTCTCTACACGGGTTCCCACATCAAAGACCACATGAGTTTTTTCTCTTGCCTGTGTGAGCACAGAAACAGGCCAGGGAAGCAGGTTTTCGCTTCGCCATCTCACCAGCTTCTCTCCGCAGCGCAGACAGGGCCTCCAAGCCTAGCTGCTTGTCCACTACCCAAACGCTACAGATTGCGTGGGAATGAGGACGAAGGCCACCTTGGGAGCCAGTTGCTAAGAGGAGCGAAGGGAGGTGGAAGCTGCCCGCTTCCCCTGCCTCCTCCCGCAAAGTAGTTTCTGAACTGAAAGGGGGGGCGGGGGCGGGACGGGGACGAGGAGAGGCAAACGAAGCCAGCATGAGGGAGATGGACGAGCAGCTGCTTCAGAAGCCCAGACACTCTGCAGCCCATGATAAGAGTGGAGCAGCAAGGTTCCAACCCCTAAAGCATGGGCGGCTGCGTGACCGTGTGCCCAGCCCGAAGGGACGGACATCCATCCCGTGGAGCAAGCTGCTTGTGCAGTGGGAGCTGAACGGAGCAGAACTGGTGGAAACCGGCCCCACTCAGGGCAGGGTCAGCGGTGCCTGCATCCAGCCATGCTGGTAACTCTGACATGCCCGGACATTCTTCCATTCCAGACAATGCTGTGCAAATGAAACCCTTCCCAGCACATCCAGCTCGCAGCAAGGCTCGTGTATTCCCACTGGGATATACATTACTGCGCTGCGATGGGGTCCTCTGGCCTTTCCCGCACGTGCTGTAGAAACCTTGGGGAGGTAATTTTTAAACACATCAGTTCAGCTGATTCTCTCCTCAAATGAACACACACCGTTAAAACGATGACAGCATCATCACACGGGGCCAGGCCAGGCCGGTGCACTGAACAGCACGCTATGAAGACGAGCGTCTCCCCACAAAGCTCCATGCTTTGGTGCCTGGGACTGGGAAGAAAACTAGCGGCGCTTGAGCTAACTCCAGGGAGATCACAAGCCCCATGAGGAGCCCCTTGCTAGCCGACCGAGAGCAGCCAGCCCACATGCTCTCTGCTCTGCCCAAGCCGTCAAAGTGAGTCAGCCCGCTAGCTGCAGCAGGTTCATACCTCCCAGTCATGGGAACCACGTCGCCCCCGGCTTGCTCTGCTTAACAGACCCGGACACAGGCAGTTACTCAGATTTCTTCATCCCTCCCTGGGTTCTAACAGGGCTCTCTCCTGCTAGTGAGATGCACCAAGCCGTCCAGAGATTTCACGGCACAGCCTTGGCCTCTCAGCTGTATTGTGCTCAGGAATGAAATTGCTGGCTGAACACAACCTTACTGGTCTCTACCTTGCGTCCGTCCCTGGCTGCTGCGAGCCATAGAGACGGACTTTGCTGGGTGCTGCCTGGGGAGCCTTTCCTGCATGGGCTTGCTTGCATCCAAGTCCCAGAAGCTGTCTGAAGTTGCCTGGATTACTTCTGACTAATCTGATGAGCTTGTATGAACTTCTCACTAGAAACTACCTGGGCAAAGCAAGTCATGAGCCTGAGACACTTCTGCTGCTTAACTGTTCCTGCCTCCCCTCCACCAGCACAATATCTTGGGAGCGCTCACATTTCACCACATTATGCCTCGGGAGCTAGCTTCAGGAGAGAGGGAGAGACGTGGCCTCCTTGCTTGGGATGGATTGGCTAGTTCAAGAAGGAGTGGCTCTGTTTAAAAAGGAGCAGACCTCACGCTAAGCCAACAAAGCCAGGGTCCATCCCCTGGGGCTGGGAAGTCAAGGGGAGGGCTGACTCGTCCTTGGAGCTGCGGTAAGTAGACAGGCCCTGGCAGCGATGAAAGGCAGTTAAGTAACCACAACATTAAAGGAAAAATGTTTACGCAGCCTTAAGTGGATAATCTGCAGGGTTCTTTGTTAGGCTCCTCTGTTCCCAGCTGAGAAATGAGTTCAAAAGATCTCTACTGTTACAGGAAGTGTAATTCCACCTGTGACTTATACAGCCCTTCCCTGCTTGGGTTCCAGTTTGCTTTCTTTGTCACTGCTGTGTCCTCCCAAGGAGAGGTACACCCCGGTGACCTCACACGCAGGCTCCCGTATAGGAAGAGACGGGCTAGGGATTTGACTGTTACATGCCAGTAGAAACAGGGCGCGAACTCAGGTTCGAGCGCAGAAATACAGAGCTAAGACTTGTTTCCCTCATCTGGGAGCTGTGGAAGGGAGCTGCAGCAAGGCTGGATTGATCACATTGGGGTCAGTACATCCAAGACACCAGCCAGCTCTTAGCCAATAGTACCTCGCCTTACGCATGAGCTCTAGGAGCAGTTACTGTTCCACTGATGGGAATGTTACTTCACACAGAGATCAGCCCACTGGCGGGAAGAGGCATTATTTGCTTGAGAGGCCTGTTCTCAGTCACACAGAAATCGTGGGATTACCAACAGATTCAACCTTGCAGAGTCCTGGCCTTAAGGGCTTACCAGAAAGACATGGTCAAATATCTGCGTGGGACTGTCCATCTGCCCAAGAATCACGATCATTTCATTGTCAATGAACTCCTTGAACTCCCGCAGGTTGCACACCATCTGCATCTCCAGCTCTGTGCGGATCTGAGGAGGAGAAGAAGGCCGAGTTTCCCCAGGTGAATAAAGGGACAATGCCCATGTTGCGCAATGCCCTCTGTGCTCCCGCTAGCCACCCTCCTCACCCGCAGTATTCTCCCGCACGCGCGATGGTGGGCTCCCCGCTCACCTCTTTGGACGTGATGTTCTCCAAGTCTTTCTGCATCATGATCTCCCTTAACTTGGTTTTAATTAACCGCTCTGTGCGCTCACGCTCCGTGGGGCTAGGAGAAGGAAGCAACAGCCACTTACTGCTAGATTGGGTAGAGTTGATTCACAGTGGTTTTTAACGGGTTAATGACGCTATGCAGATACACCTAGAGCGAGACACTGCTGAGAAGATCCCCACCTGGGAGGAATCTAACGCTTTACCTCTGGATCCCCTTAAACCCAGATCAGGTTCACAGCTGTGCTTTATATGGAACAGAAACGCCATTGGATGGATCCAGTACTTTAATGGCGCTCCATAAAAACCTCTCCAGTATTTTGCTGTTTCAGTGGCTTCAGGCAGCGTATTACCCCCCTGCTAGTCTCTCAGCTTCCCCCTTACCTTTCTTGGAAAGGTAACAGCTCCACACCTCCTTACATGGAGACAGACTGCAGCTAAGCCTGCATGCATTCCACCAGCCTCTGCTGCCTGTCGCCTTATCGCTGGGTGCAAAAATAGCTTTACTAATCAACCAGGACGGTGGCAGTTGTACTGTAGCTCCGGTGCTCTGAGCTGGCTCACCCATCGTCTAAAGATGGGGCCCAGCGGTAACATCTCACACCTATTCTAGCAGTCTGTAACGCTGCCAAGACAGTAAATGCATGGAGGTTTCTGCTTTATGAACATCTAGAATTCCTCTCCAGCTGGTGGTTTATGAGTAAGAGAATTACAAAAATACTGGTGCTTTTAATCACAGAGCCCTGCCTGGGACTCCATAGGTCTCAGTCAGATTTTTCAGTGGAGAAAGGGTGGGGGTTTTAAACATGAACAAATCATGGCAGACTATTAAGCTGGCAGCCTGCTAGAGTCTTGCCGCTCACTTCCCTGTATGTTAAAGACAATCAGGTGTGAAGACTCATTGGCAGCTGAAATGCCCCACACGATTATTCACTCACTGCTCTGCTAAGACAACCTGAGCCCTGCGTGCTGTAATGAAATCTATGGGAAGGAACACAGTGGGCAAGCAGCCTGTGATGGCAAAAAGGCGCGTCCTCCGTTATCCTCGGGGGGAGTGTGGGGAAGGAGCTCTCGAGGTAATGCCACAATTACTGACAGAACTGGTTGGGACCGATTCGTAAGCGGGCAGCTTGGAAACCTGGCCCCACTACCAGCACGGCCATCTCAGTCGCTGTCCTGACGCGCGCCACCAGCCAGTGTCTGAGCATCATGCATCTTCCCACCCCGTTCCTCAAGGGGATAAAAGCCCTCGTCTCTACCCCACATTTAATCATTAGGCACGCTGACTGGATCAGCTGCTTGAGGCTTCCCAGCTAAGAGGCCTGAAGGCTTCTGGGCCACGCAGCAAGAACAAAATAAAAACCCAGTTTATTATAAACCAGCAACATGCCCATGTAAGCTCCTGAGCTGGTCTGGTGGTCTAGGCACAGGAGTGGGAGACAAGCTCCTGGGTTCTACTCTCAGCTCTGCCACCGATTCCCTCTTGGGGCCTTGAGCAAGTCACTTCGCCTTCCCCATCTGTCAAAGGGGATAGTATTGCCCAGACTGAGGGCCGTACGGAGCTCTGGAAGTGCTAAGAATCAGCACTGAAAAGGACACACAGGGTTTCCATTAGCTAGTCTTCCAGCCTTGATGTTTGTTTAATCCGGGATCCACCTATGAACTTGCAATGCTTCCTGCTGACAAGGCATGAAGCCCGATCCCATGGGGCAGCGTCTCCTCCTGCAGAGGTTTGGTGCCGCACGCGGCACAGCCTCTCTGCCCAGCAGAGACAGGTTGACTTACACGTCCGTGAAGAGGGCGGGGGAGTCGGGCCGGTGCGATTGCACGTCCTGCATGGCGTTCCATTCGTTGACTGAAGACTGGTCGGAGTTGATGTGGCTCTCATAGTAACTGACCCACGTGAGGAAGAGGCTCCCTGGGTAGTAGTTGTGACTTCGGGCCACCTCGCAGGCCTTGTGTAAACTCTGCAGGGCAGACCTGGAAGAAGCCCCAACACATCAGCATGTCCCCCCGGTGACGAGGAGCAAACCCCAGAGTCCCACCATTCCCGTTCACTGCAGGTGGTTGGGCTATGGGGCAGCACATCCTGCCTCTGTCGGTCAGTCCCCAGGTCTGAACCTGGATGCAGTGGTACTCTCGGCCTACAGCTGCCTGGAAAGGTTACTGCTTAATGCAGCGCCTGACTGTAAAGTCAGCTCTGGACTCACACACACCGCAAAGGTCTGCAGTTCTGAGTCAAAAGAACCCTGCGAAGCGGCAGCTCACGCTGAGTGCCCTTCGCAATACGTCACGGGAATCATTCTGAAACCTCGTACCGGCCTTTGGCGAGCCCCTCAGCCCTGCCTGTCATGCCACTCACTGCACACACGCGAGGCTACGTGCCCCCTGGAGCTGAAGAAATGATCATATTGATGTTACAGACTCTGCATTGTTTGCCACCAGTTATTGTACCCAGGCAGCACAGCTCCCTGTGTGTCTGAGCAAGGCACTGAGGCCATGTGCCTGGGTCTCGGAAGACATGGGGGACACACAGCAGCACCTGCTTTGTGAAAGCAGAAGCATCTAAAATGCCTTGGATAAAGGAGCCCTGGGACAGATCACAGGGAGTCCTTACCACATTGCTTGAACGGACACTGGCTTGAACACATGGACCCTGTTGTCCGTTGATACGCTGAACCCTCTGGTGAAAGAAAAAAATTGACCCATTAAGAATGAGACACTTATCACAGAGTCTTTTTTCAGCCAACAACCATTGATTTGTAACCAGCCAGGACAGCAAAGGGATAATCCGAGGCACACATTGGTTTGGCCAGTTTCAGCTAGAGGACTGATGCAATAGCATGGTACAGCTCTGGGCAGGCTCATTTCTAGTGGCTGCTGTTCAGCGACGAAGCCAGGACACTGGCTGAAATAAAGGCATTCGTCAGCCACAGAAGCAGCAGTGCCCAGGTGAGCAGTTTACCCAGGCTACATTCAAGTTCAAAACCAGAAATGGAAACTACACAGTACAGCTGAGCGCGGCAACCAAAGCAGCAAAGGTCACTGTCTGGGCAGTCCATACAGCTGGCACTGAGAGGAGTTTACAATCCAGGAGGACATCGGGCAAGGAAGACATCACACTTATGTTTACGTTAGCAGAATATGGTTGTCCCTACAGGTGCTACACAGCCACACTTGATAGGATCCCTTTTCAGAAGCTTTCACCCCCGTCCCCTCCCCACATACAGCGTGAAAGCTTCTTAGCAGCTTATGCACACACATGCGTAAGCTGCTGCCTAACTGCAAGGCAACTGGTTGCCGTCTCCTATGACTACTGTGATTTGAAGGACAGCCTGAACTGCCCATATTGACAAGAATTTGAATGCGATTCCACACAGTATCCTCTGTGTGCAGTATAATGAACAGAACATGGAAGCCCTCTGCTTCCCAGACACTTACCCATCCCCATCCAAGTGAATAAGGGTGTCGCTCCACAGGGGCAGCACCAAGCCCATTGTGCAAGTGCTACTGTAAGAAGAAACAGAAGGTCAGCTATTGTGCCACCTGCTTCCCCCAGCTACTCTGCAAATTGTACAGCAACGGTTGCAAACCCATTTGTATTGATCTGAAATACTGACCAGACCCCTCTCTAACCTGTGTCTTGTTCTCTACAGGTGTCCTTGGAAGTGCAAGCGGTGTTGGATATGGGCTGTTAACCAAAGCTGGGGTCTGCTCGTCCCCCTGCAGCAAGCTTGTAATGTTCGTGTTTCCCAGGGTGAATTCTGAAGTGACATCAGAGCAGCAGGCTCTATGCAGGAGGGCAGAGGCCGGGTCACCCAATTTTCAGTCAACTCAAGGTTTTTACACTTGAACGAAAGGAACCGTTCTGATTTCTTTCAGGTTTGCCAACACAAGTGGCTCATTTCTAGCTGCGACTTTGGAATCCAAGGTTCTCTGTTTTTATTGGTCATTCAGCCACAGCTGCTAGGAACTCAGGTGAGTGTAATTTAATGCTCCTCTGAATGACGGCAGTGGGAAGGAAGGTATGGTAGGTTGTGCATCGCAGCACACCACCCCCATGTGCGGATTTCCCTTTGCCCCCACGGTGGCTAAGCTCAGGCTGCCACAAGAGACGCTTATGGGAAATGTCACTGTTCTTCCAATAGCTGCTATGTCTTTTCCCTCATTTGACTAGCATGCCACGTTTGGTCACATGGAAATGCTTTGTCCTCTCTGAAAGAAGAGGGAAACTCTGGGATAAAAACAGAAATAAAGTGATGGAAGAACTGACGGGGGAAAAAAACTGTATGTGTCAGGTTGCCAAGGGGAAAAGCCAAACCCAAATTAGGAGGAAATTGCTGGGTGCTCAAAGCAGGTGTTTTCAGGGAGCGTCAGATTCTATTGTCCGGCTCTCCAATTCTTCGCACTGGACTCAGTGTGCTGCCTAACACCCCCCTGGGTGACTGGAGCTCAGGGAGGCAAACAGACAGAATGGACTGCGAAAATGCACACCCCCTGCACACACGCACGCAGGAATGGCCGTAGTGCCCGGCCCCAGGAGACAGCCACAGGCAACTATTTCTGTTGACTAAACGAGATGAGCTCATGGAAAAATGAGTTTTTAAAAGGCGACCCAAGGTGGCCGGGGTATTTTTAGTGATACTTTTCCGCAAGCGTTTATCAGGGACCTTAGCAACAAGTCTGTATCGAGTTATAAATAGCAAGTGGGCTGGAGGGAAGGGGGGGAGAAGAGGGAGAGCTTGACAGTCTAGAACCCAAGTAACTAGCACAAAGCTCAGAAAGCCTGCACAGCATCTATCTGAGCGTTTGAGACTCGGTGTGAGGGAGCCCTCACTTAGCTGCATTCCAGGGGGCAGCACTGGTATGCCAGACCCAAGAGCAAATTCCCAGCTCACAGAATTCTGCGCAAGAACAACTTGTTTGTAAGTTGCGCAAGAACGTAATAATTGTGTTAGTGCACCCATGATTTTCAACCCCGCTGCACACAGCACCAGCTGCGCACGGGCCCCAGTTCTTTTGTCCCAGTTGCTTCTGAGCCAAGCTTCCCAAGCACCGCTACAAATTAAGCACAGTGGCTGCTGGGATATCTAAATGACAACCAGGAAGGCAGTTTCAAAGGCGAACGGTTTCAGCCAGCCATGTGATGGCCGTGTAACAACCCTGGAGGAATATTTCTGACATGCATCGCACATAACTTTAAGGTTGGTAACATTCATTCTCATACTGCAGCTCTATTCAGATGTTCTGGGGCTGGTGCATACTCGCTGTTTCTCAAGGTAACTTCACAGGAAATTAACAAGAGGGCTCAGGACCTGGGTTCCTTTTCTCTCCCCTCTTAGCTAAGACCCAGATGGGTTTGTGATGCTTTAGGGTGCATGTCCTCCCACCCCACCCCACACCCTACAAGAGCCCAGAGTCCTATTTTAAGAAGTCTCTACCCTACAGCAGCCGGCAGGCCTCTCCACGGCTTCTGGATACACAGACAGCAAAGATGACTCAGTGGCCACATTTTGCGACCCTTTGGAGAGGTCACCACAATTTACATAAATACCGTGAAAGCATGACACCATGCTGACACACAAACGGCTGGAGAGCGCACGCACTGCGTAACCTCTGCCACCAGAGCGCCTGGCATTTCCTTCGGGCTCTTTGTGTCCCCACCACAACCGAGCCCCCTCCAGGCCTCAGCAAGGGGCTGCGCATCTGACTGCTCCCCCTGACCGGGGAAAGGCATCTATTGTTACAGTTTTTTATTGTATAGACTCTAGGGAAATCAGACAAGCCGGCTCCAGCGTTTTTGCCGCCCCAAGCGGCAGGAAAAAAAAAAAAGCCACGATCGGCGGCACTTCTACTGCCGCCGCTTCATTCTTTAGCGGCAATTCGGCGGCTGGTCCTTCCCTCCGAGAGGGACTGAGGGACCTGCCGCTGAATTGCCGGCGAAGAGCCGGACGTGCCGCCCCAAGCACCTGCTTGCTGCGCCGGTGCCTGGAGCCGGCCCTAGGATAAGCAGGGCTTTGGGTCTTGCCGCTTACTGCTTTCAAAACTCCTGCATCCACACGGGAGATTGGTGACACTATTTTTCGGGACTTCCAAATGCTGCCCATCCTCTGTCCCTCCCAACTCCGTGCTGCTTCCCTACGTTCCAAGTCCCACAGCCTAAGGTTTGCGTTTCAGAGAGGCACCAAGCCTCCAGGCTCCCCCACCCCTCTTTCAAGATATTAGAAGGCAATTTGGGGGCTGGAGAGGCGAGTCTAGAGGCTGAAGCAGTCTGCCTAGATACCTGTCATTGGAAGAGAAATCCATTCCTAGGACAATGCTTTCCTCAGTGTCTTGTCTGCCATTGGTTGAAACTACCACCATGTATCTAGTGCGGTTCTGGTACGTACTTTCCAGTCTTACTGCCTAAGGGTCAAGGAGACAAAAAAAAAAAAAAAGGTCAGCAGCAAAGCCAGTGAAACATACAGTTGTGACTTACAAAGCATCATTCCATGCTGATGTTAGGCCCAACCAGGCATTTTGCACCAGCGCAGAAGACCACAGCCTCTACGCTGGGTACACAGTACTGCAGCCAATACAGAAATCAGCATCATTCTCTCACCCACCAACCACTTGCCTGCAGACGTGCCCTGTTCAACCAGGTTGCGTTCAAACACTCTTGCCATCAGTACCTGGGGAGAGCTGCCACAGTCCTCTGGGCAAGTTGGCATAGGTAGTCCTGGGAGGTGCTGCGTGCTCTGAACCCGATGGGCACAGGGCGGGCTCAGTGCCACCCAGAAGTTACGTAGCACCTCAGAGATGGGTCCTTCCCTGAAGCTATCCACACTGAATTATGGTAGTTCTTTAAATGGTTGACTGACTAGTTGATTCTCTCCCCCCAAAACCAAGCACAGCTGGTGAAACTCAGGCAGCAGCCTTCCGGCGTGCTTTGAACACTGACCGCAAGAGAGGCAAGTCAGCAAGATCCAGGAAGGCTGCATCACAGAGCCCGGTATATTTACAAGAAGCCAAGAGGAACTACATTCAAATGACCTGAGCAAGTCTTCGTAAGATCAGAAGTTGATTAGCCGTGGCATGCCAAGGGGACGGCACACAGACAGAGTGCATTTAGCTAGGCCAGGTTTGCCCATATGGATCTGTGGCAGGCAGTTCCTTTTGCTTTTAGTGCTTTTGGGCTCGGTCCCAAGACATCTGCAGTTATTTTAGTCACAGAAACCCAATTAAAGATAAACTGGGAGGCCATTAGGGAGGAGATGTCTTAATGATGATCTGTTGGGTCATGTCTAATGTAGCCCAGAGTCCGAGTGTTTACATTCGCATTGTTACATGGCTTCCTGAACTTCTCAGTGAGCCATGGGGAGCCAATGAGGATGAGAAAAGCCTTGTCTACATGAGCAGCATCAGGGAAGCCTCCCAGTGTTGTAGCAGGAGCAACAGCCGGCACAGAGGAGCGACTGGCATTTCAGCCACCACTAGACCAGACCTATCCGACACTGCAGCAGACTAGAACCACGACAAGGCACCTGGCTTGCAGTGTGATGGGGTGCTGGCAGACTGGAAGAGACACTGCGTGGTGGGAGAGGTGCCCTCACTCCACTCTGCTCAGGAGTCACCACGCTGGAGCCAGCCTGATTTGCCTTCTCATTCCTTGCTCCAGTGAGGAGGAGGGACATGAGTTTGCATTTCTGCAGGCCAGCCCTTCCAGACGGGATCGCTGCCAAAGGGGCGACTTCTAGCACTAGCAGCTGACACCAGATCGCAGAGGAAACGGCTGCGCCTGACCCCAAAGAGCAGAGGACAACCGGGGTCTTGGCGGTTCAATTTTTCCACCCACATTAGGACACAAACCCCAGAGGATAAAACCAAGAGAGTGAGCAAGCAGTGAGCAGCACAACCACCACCCTGCACCCAGGGACCTGTCCCAGGCTCCAGAGGCCTGTCTGCAGCCAGAGGATTAGTGTAATCTCATTTACTTCACAAAACCAATCTAGGTAGCTGTAATTAGCTGCGTGGTTTTAATGTAAGACCCTTTAGAGCAGGGCTGCCCAAGCAGGTGTCAAAGGTCACATGGCCTCAAGTCACTGAGACAGGACTTTCATCGGAATGATTAAGAGAAACTGACTTTTTAGGATCAGCATTTAATACCTCCGTGCCCGCTGAGAGCCACCGGGGTGCAGCTGAGGCAATCTGTTTCGCTAAATTGACCGGAATGATCAATAATCAGCTCTGCTCTTCTAAACCAGGTGACACCAGAGGATCTCAAAGCAATTCACAAACAATTAGAGTCTCAACATGCCTGTGAGGGAGCTGCAATTCCCAGTCCCCTCCTTCAAAGCGGGATCTCATGCTCTACCAATGGCAGTGATGAAGCACAACAGAATCAGCTGCAATAATTACTACCCACCCAAATGACATGGCTGTCCTAGCAATGGTGGGTTAAGCAGAGTCACTGGGACAACACCAGCCGATCCAGGCGAGAGAACGTTCTCTTCTCAAATTAAGAAACTTACCTACGTACTGGTAATATAAAATCTATTGCAGCTATTCCTGTAACCAGGGTCTGTCTATAGACCACATGTTGTGATTACAACACAGCTTTCCCCTCAGCTGCAAACTTGTTTTGACCACAAATGACATCATGCAGTATTTAGCAACCCACTATGCAGGTCCAAAGCCGATACAGAGGTCTTACCCATCACCTAGATGGGGAGTACAGAAACCAGCAATGCCTACAACAGGACCGTGAGAATTTATAAGCTGGAAATTTGGTTTGGATACAGAACAAGATTATTTTTTAAGTTTAAAAGCCAGCTACCCAATTTCTACATTCTTCCGCATTCCAGAAGGTTCTTGTACAACTTAACCCATTGCCTTCCTGCTACTGGTCTTACACTGGTCCATTAAAGGGCCCAATCCTGCTCCCTTTGAAGTCCCTGAGAAGTCTGCCCATTGCTCCAACAGGAACAAACGCAGACTCTTCCGCTGTCCTCTAAAAAGTGACACTCACCCTCCAAAGAGCAGCTGCCAACACACAAGAAGAGAGGTGGGTTTTTACGCTGTTTACACTACAAGTCTCAGCTGAACGTATTATTTTAAATGAGTCTCTTGCAGCTCTGTGCACCCTTCATTTGTGAGGAATCAATTCAATTCAGACGGACTTCTGACCTCAGCCTCGTGCAAGACACTAGCATTCGCACTGAACGCCACACAAAAGGCTGTCTCTCTCTTAGCCTACACAGTCCTTATTCAGCTGTTAACAGGGCAAACTGGTCTCACAAGGCACAGTGCAGCCAGCAATACTGCTGAGTAATGCAGCCTCAAACATTCTGACTTTGGGCCCCAATCTGAGAGGTGCCAAGAGCCCCCTGGGACGTGAGTGCTCTGCATGCTCATGGCCTTCTGCATCAGGCCTCTGGCTTGTCTGGGCTGAGTTATTCCACATGCAATTGCAAAGCACTCGCCAGCCTCCTTTTTAAACGGCACATGCTTTGCAGTAACATCAGCTGCTTTCCTCTTCTGTGTGTAAGGAAGATCCGGCTACAGGGAAAGCCAGGAGGAAAGTGCAAACTAGCAGTGCCGGAACATCTCTTCTGGTGCTTGGCTAGGCCTGGTGAGGTATAAACTGCTGTGGCAGATTCAAGAGATGAACCCAGACAACACAAGAGAGCCCCATCAATGCTAATGGAGGACAAGAGAGCCAATGAAGATCTTCGAAATGTTTAGATACTGCCAGTGCCTCCGGCCGGCACTCCCCTCTGTTTCTGGAGGCTTCCAGGACAAAGTAACTGTAATGCCACCACTTCAGTTCCATAGCATCTTTCACGGGAGGATCTCAATGTGCTAACTAACCAACAAGTCTTTGCTCATAACACCACGGCAAAATAGGCATGAGCCACACAGGGATTACTTCTCCCACTAAGGGAATGCAGTCACATCTGGGGTAGTACATGGCAGCTGCTCAACAGCCCACAGTAACACCATGCAATGATGTAGAAAGGGAAGATGAGAACCCAAATGACTCTACAGGGGGGTATTTCAGGTAGGCTGGATATAATCAGTAGGGCTCTGTGTCTCTCACGGAGGTTGCGGAAGTCACGGATTCTGTGACTTTCCATGACCTCCGTGACTTCTGCAGCGGCCGGTGTGGCTGGCTCCAGGGCAAGCCGCTCGGGCAGCCCCGCAGCCAACCACACCAGCCGCTGCTGGAGCTGTCCTGGGGACCGCCTGAGCAGTGGTCCATGGCAGCGGTCCCAGGACGGCTGGAGCAGCCGCTGTTGGCGGGCCCTGGCAACTGGTGCCACTGACCCCCTCAGCAGCACCCCCCCCCCCGGGCACTCCCACAGCAATGACACCCCCTCCCCCCAAAGATGTAGTCAGGGGTATTTATAGTACAAGTCATGGACAGCTCATGGGCTGTGAATTTTGGTTTATTGCCCATGACTTTTATTCAAAATACCCTTGACTAAATTGTATCCTTAATAATCAGCAATTTAGAATTCAAACAAGACACCAGGGTAATGTTCTTAATTCTTATGACAATTGCTCTGGGATCTTTCATGGCCACAGGTGCTCAGGACATGAGTCACCAAATGTACGCAGAACCCTTGAGTCAAAACACTGTCCAACTCCTTGTCTCACTGGACAAATCAGTGAGCTGGCCGCACCTTTTCCTTGTGAACGTCTGGGCTGTAAACAAGTTTCTGGATTTCGATAGCAAAGCTATTGACATGGCTACGTACCACAGCTTTCATTGGTCCCTCTGCAGCACCTCTCAATGGGACCTAGCCACACATTAACAGTCACAGATTATTTATCATAAATCAAACAGCCAACCTACCAGTCGAATGTTGTCTTCTGGGCGGAGCAGGATGAACATGGCCTGCAGGTGCTGCTGGAGATCCCCTGAAGGAGAGAGGGAAAGGTGAGGACACACATAAACACCTTTAGTCACGTCCTACCTCCTGGCATCCCAAACATCCCCTGGGCAGGTGCTGTCCCGGCTGCCGCCAGCTCCACCTGTATCTGCACCAAAGTGACTAGCATCTCTCTGTGTCGTCAGCTCTTTGCTCTGTGCCATTACCGGGCTCTCTGGGCAGACAGGACTTGCACTCTCTGGGTAATGTTTGTCCCTCGAAGACCTGTTCCAGAACACCTCTGAACACTCTATGTCCTAGCCCCATTCTGGTCTTGTGTCCCCCACATCTGGGTTGTCCCATTTACTTCACCCAGCTCAGTGATTGCACTCTGGCTCAGGTGACGTACAATCCACTCCTTTCTTAGAGCAACGCTTTCCCATTTTGGTTCATGTGCCACCCCCAGCTGCCCGCCAAGGATCTCAGGAGAGCCATTAACGTTAGCTGGAAATGCGAGCTACAGGTTTACTGGTGGCACTGAGAAAGGATGCAGGTGCTATCCCAGCTGCTCAATACATTAGAAGCTTGTTAATAAGAAAGGGAGTGGAGTAGCACACATTCCCAAGCCAGCAGGCATTCCCAAACCAAACCCAGATTAATTCCCGGCCTAAATCTATTCCCCTTTGCACCTCCTTGGAGTGAGAATTTGCAGCAGTGCTGCTGCTCAGGACATGGAGAAAGAGGGATGCCTCTCCAGCAAGCACCTCACTCTATGAAATGTCAGTGAGCAGCACAGCCTCCAGCAAGAGACCCGCTCTGCAACAGCCACCTGGAAAAGTCACTTGCAACCCCAGGTGGCAGCTACTGCAGAGGAGCGGGGGTCCATTCTTCCACCCTCTCCTTTCTCATGCAGATGGAAACCTCAGACTAGTTAACCGGCTCCTCAGGGAAGGACAAAGGTTTCAGTGGAGCAAGTGATCAGCACTATAAAGTCTTGTGGACAGTAAAGGTTATGGAAACCTTAGTCCAGCGCCTCCTAGTGACAGCATATTGCACTGCCATGCAGGGAATCTGGGCCCCCAGGTTTCCAAGAAGGCGGGGGCTGGGAGAACTGGGGAAATATTGCACCCGGTCCTTGGGCGAGTATCTTACACTGCTCCGGAACGGCTCCCCATCGCCCGCAGTGCTGAAGAGAGCTAGTGGCAGCATCTGGCCCCCTCCACCAGATGGGACTTGAATACAAGGCTTTGTGGGGGTGGAGAGACACAGGAAGGGGGAGCTTGGAGCTTGCTCCCACCTTACAAATTTCAGCATCTGCAGAGTTGGTCCAAGAGCCTGTCCTAGGACAGCGTTTCATTGGGGCCTCAGCTAGGCAGGAGAAGCTAGGAGACGGTCACTGGAAATGCTGAGTGACTACTACAGGCAGACAGCCCTGGACACAGAGAACAGGGTGAAACTGGCTCATCAATGGGATACACACAGTTCTCTGCACCTTCGTCGTTCCTTCGCTCTCAACACTGCAGACTCCTGGCGGTGCCACCAGGAATCACACGAACTAGCACCAACTGGTTAAGATGACAGCGTTTTCCCCTTGGGAGAGCTCAGAGCGCCAGCAGTTCTACATCTCCCTTGCTCCAGATGGCTCCTGGCAGCACGAGGGCTTCACTCACAGGAAGCATTTAAGAAAGTGAAATACTCTGTGCCCCAAACCTTTTCCAGATCAGATTAGACAAAACTCAGCTACAGCCCCCTAGGGTCTTTAACAATCAGCCACTGTCATGCTGGAGCTGCAAACTGCACCTAGGAGGTGAAGCCCTAGGTATACGCTATTGCTAGCTTCCCTCCCAGCTGCTGATTTCAAGGAAAGACAAAGCAAGTTGCCGAGCAGGTTTCTCTCTCTGGGAGACTCGGAGGGGCCAGTTGGGAAGATATTTTATCCTTCTGATACAGAGGGAGATTTTTTGTATTTCCCCATATTTCCCTGTTGGCCAACAGCCCAATCAACCCTGGTGGAGACTTTAAACTTTACACCAGAGAGAGATACAACATCCCTGGCCAGCTTTGCTTCTCTCCCACGCCCCATGTGAGTGATGCAAACACCAGGTGTTATACACCCCAAAATGCTGAGCAGGACCTGGAATGGGTTACCTAGGGAGGTGGTGGAATCTCCTTCCTTAGAGGTTTTTAAGGTCAGGCTTGACAAAGCCCTGGCTGGGATGATTTAGTTGGGGATTGGTCCTGCTTTGAGCAGGGGTTTGGACTAGATACCTCCTGAGGTCCCTTCCAACCCTGATATTCTATGATTCTATGACCTGGGCAGAGGGGTACACCATGTTACGCCGTTATCGGGCCCTGTCGGGCTGGCACCACTGGCATTTCAAGGGCAGCTACCACATCTCTAACACAACCCCCAGCAGGGCACGGTGGTAACACAGGGATGACTTTGTTTAAACTGGGCTGGCAAGTGGGGTACAAGCTACCAGCCAGGGTGGGAAGTTGGACTTTTCTAACTTTAAGTAGACATATCCCCTTGGGTGTTTACATCTTGGGAAGCCGCGACATCTTTTCTTGGCTCAGTCCGGCCCTGACAGAGTCCAAAAGAATACACAAGATAGCTCCCTTCACACAGTGAATTTTGCCAGGCACCACCTGGCAGCACTCAAGAGGGAGCCATGGGCAGAAGCCAAGTGTGGAAGGCTGTTTTCTTAGCTGGCCAATCTGCCAACTAGTCAATTTCCCCTTTTTGGGGGTGATACTATTAAAAAAGCCATGGGGCTAAGATTAAATATGTCCTGTTGTGAAATAATAAATATCTTGTTTGCGGGGACTCCCACACTCCTGCTGAATGTGGGGGAAGAGGTTAGAAAAGCATTCCTTCTCCATTTCTCTCACGGCCGGGAGAGAAATCTGTTTGCCAGAATTCTGTGTGCACCAGAGGTTAGCAAGCTGTGGTGCTGAGCCAGGCAAAGGCCAAGAACGGAGATGGAGGTTTCGTTTCCATATACTCCTCTCACCACCAGTGGTTGGTTCACAAATTGGAACCATGTTGTGTCCAAGACTGTGCAGCTCAGATCTGTTCTGCCTTGTGTGGTGTAGTTGATTTCACCAGGCAACGATAAAAACAAGTACTACTACTTCATAGACAGGATTCGCCATGTGCACATATATTAAAATATACAAATTTGTGCACAGAATATACAAATAGGGAGGAACTGGTTGAGAATTTGAAAGTGGAAGGCAGCTTGGGTGAAAGTGATCATGAAACGAGAGTGTTCAAGATTCTAAGGAATGGTAGGAGGAAGAACAGCACAATAAAGACAATGGATTTCAAGAAGGCAGACTTCAGCAAACTCGGAGTTGGTAGGTAAGACCCCATGGGAAGCAAGTCTAAGGAGAAAAAATAGAAGACAGTTGGCAGTTTTTCAGAGAGACATTAAGGGCACAAGAGCAAATTATCCCACTGCGTAGGAAAGATAGGAAGTTTGGCAAGAGACCACCCTGGCTTAACCAGGAGATCTTCAATGATCTAAAAATCAAAAAAGAGCCCTACAAAAAGTGGAAACTAGATCAAATTACAAAGGATGAATATAATCAACAACACAAGCATGTAGGGACAGGAACAAAACCCAGGTCAACTGACTCCCGATCTTGTAGGTCACACTGCCTCCTAGAATACAAAATACAATGCTGCAAGTGATCACACCAAAGCAGGTTTGCCCTTGCAGACATTTGACCTCTGTAGACTCCATATTCACTACATGAGTGTTTTCTTACTCAGCCAACTGTACCCCTGATCTAAGAATGTGACCCCTTTGGAAGTCAGCTCTAACACATGGAGTCTGGGCACCAGAGAGCTGTAGTTCTGTTTATGCTACCATTGCCTGATCTATTCTGGCCAGGATCACACCTGAATTCCATCCAGCTGGGATAAAAGGTGGCCCTCTCCACATGGTAAAGCGAATAGAGCATCTGTCAAGCAGACACTTGGGCTGTAACTGTGCAGAGTATTTTGGAGAGTGAAAAAAGAGACAGGTCAAGACATCAGTTCTGAAAGATGCTGGCCCCACTTACATACCACAGACAGATTCACTTAAATCCTCAGCCAAAGAGACTGTCTTTAAACCAATGTTCGGCCCATTCTATTTTCTTTGAAAGGCAGAGGTTTCTTATGCCCCAACCCAGCCTCCCACAGTTCCGCTTCTGCTCCTGCCATGGTTTTGGCCAGGGGGGAGGGGAAAGACAATTTTCTGACTCCTGACTTTGTCCTTAGCAGTGTTAACATTGGCAGTCGGGGCGGGGTGCGTGCGTGCGTGGAGGAGACTCTCCCTGACCATCTCTTTGGTTCGGCAGCTGGGTGACGTTCTAACGACATGCCAGAGCCATGGAAATCATGGCTGGAACCGACTGAAGTCACTCTTTTGGGTGGTCGCTTTTTGGCAAGGACAGAGTTGAATCCAGCCTCTTTGGTTTTTGTCTCTGCCCCAGGTGGAAGTTCAAAGTTCTCAACATTATATGTCCCCTTCCCCCATCAGTGATTGTTTAATGAAGGGGAAAAAAATCGGAGACTCTCTGATGCCTGTAAAGTGCCATCCATGAATCAGCACCATGTACACACTGAGCAACCGTCTTCCCTGCAGCGTTTGGTTTTCGTTATTCAGAGACTGACTTTTCCAACAAAGGATCAAAACAGAAAACAAATCAAGCTTCCAGCAGACAAAGAGGGTGGAATTCTGACTCGCTTCATATTATTCATTCTGTACACGAGTCTATCTGAATAAGAGACACATTAACAGACTCCGAATGCTTCCCACCACCACTTAGAATTAGAAGGAGGTCTTTATTTTTGCTGTCAGTAAACAAGCTGTTTACAGACCAGGGAGAGCAGTTACTCATCCCAGATTATCCCAGGGTTTGGACGTTATGCACCAATCTTTGCACATGGACCCCAATACAAAGGTTATTGAATATATTAATAATGCAGGACATCATCCTTTGGGGCAGACGCATTTGCACTAATGCACTTTCAATAACGTTACTGGATGGGAAGAGTTTGCACCCTTTGCAATTCAGCTGTTTATGTAGAACCAGTGACCACATGGACGTGCCGTCACGATCGCTTCAATAAATCCCCACTTTGGTGAAAAGACAGACTGAGCGCTTTGGATTTTGTTGGGAAGGGATTGCTGCATTCACGTTTATATTACTGGGACCCTTAGGTCTACCAAAATGACGTGTAGCAGCCTCGAGAGACGAATGTCTGAGATGAAAGCCAAGAGCTGCACTAACATGGCTTTTGGTGGGTTGGCACCGAATCCCGAAGAGGAGAATTTAGGGGACCGGGCAGTCAGGAAAGTCTGGGCTGTCAGATGTAAACAGAGGCGGTGTATTTACCTGCATGCTTGTTGCGCCTGTTGTTGATTTTGGGGGTAGAGGACCCATTTCCTCGGGGCAGGAAGAGAGCCGCACCTTTCACAGTGAGGAAGCTTTCGCTGATGCTGCAAGGGAAAGAAAACTAATGAGCCAGTAGAAAGGAGAGAAAGCACCGTGACAAACAAGGGCCCTGGACAGGGAAGATACTTAGACCCAAACCATGGTGCTGGTGAAGGACAATTAGTTTCTTTCCCCTCTAGAAATACATTCATGCTCTGAACCCTGCAGTAAGTGAGTCGTGTGTGTAGGGCTATTGAGAGCAACGGTACATAAAGCAGCTGGGGCATTGCCCTAAGAGGTGTTTTTGATTTGGAAACCTAGACGTCTGGTAGACATTTCCACATGGCAATATGTATATCAATGCTTGAAATCCATAATGTAATGGATCTGGCTAATCCTATGCTTTGTTGTTCAGAGAGATAGCTGATGCCCCATAGCAACAGATGCCTTGCTTTGTAGTTAGCTGAAGGACCATCAGTCCGTCCAACAGATTAATGGACCATAAAACTCTATTGTCTGATGATTCGTATGATAATTGGCTCATGAAGAGACTCAAATAAATTAAAAGCAAAACCATAATGCTGTTACTTTAAGACACCTTTCATTGGCTTGACTTTGCCCTTAAATCAAGTGACATGAAGACTGAAGTGCACTGCTGAAATAGCTACACAGATCACCGAGACACTCTTCTGAAAAAGATTTTACATTAAGAAAACTAAGTAGCTTTCTTTTTTAAAACATACGCCTGTTGTAGTTCATTGAGGAAAACATGATTCTTAGCACAACTCGGCTGGGATTAAGTCATCCTGTTACACAGAGCTTGGGGCACCTGTTTTACTCTGAACTGAAAGGGGAAAACCACACAAACATTAAAAAGTAGTAAATCCAAAACGACAACGCTAGAGTAACAGGATGAACTATGCACGTTCTAGACAGGATATGAGTCCCTGCCATTGTGCACAACAGCTCCATGCCTTCCATGAGAAACCAGCTCGCTGGGTTCGTTCACCCACGAGACTAATAGCCTCTTTACACGCCTTTCTCAAGTTAAATACGACAGTTTACTGTTCCCCTCTCAAAGGCTGAGTTAATGAAACGGAAGTTAGAAACAGCACAAAACCCCTCCACATATTTGAGGAAAATGAAAAGTTACAAGAAATGGATAAAAGCTAACCTATGCCAAGTTAACACCCTTCGCACATACTTCCTTTTCACAAACGTGGCCAGATCAAACGGCTGTCTTAGCAATCTGATTCACAAAAGCATTTAAGCACATGCGTACAGTTAAGCACATGCTTAAGCCCCATTGAAGAAAAAGGCTTTGTAGAGAATTCAGTTGTCACCCAGTAGTCAATGGGACCAGCATGTGCACAAGCGCTTTCCTGAACGGAGGCCTTATTGCTGGATATCCTGACTGCTTTGCAAGAGTAAGTTTCAGTCACGAAAAACCTTCTTGTATCTGCTCTAACTCCACACACTCCCATGGGAAGAGTGGATTGCCCCTGCCCTGGAATGGCACCCGAAATGGGAACGCTCTTTGTAGACACATCTCGAGGGAGCCCTCGAGCCCAGAGCTCCTCCCCCGCGCTGCGCTTTTTTACCCTGGCAGTTGTACACTTCCCCAGAGGCCTTTTCCATTTAGCCCGTGACTTGCCAGCTCTTTGGTGCACTGGTCCAACACACCAGAATTTCAAAAGGAAGAAAAATTCTTCCTAGATCAAAAAGGATCAAGAATCGTTATTGTGCTAAATTAAGATGCATCACTGGGCATGCGGACCAGATGTTTTCTCTGGAGAAAACACAGGCCCTCAGAACCTCCCAGGACAAGAATTTTAGCCAACAGCTCCCCTGGCACCATGTGACAATTATGTTCTCTGCAAAGCCTTTAGGCTACGCAGTGCCTTGAAGTTCACTTTGGACATACCAAGAAAATGTTCAGTTATCTTGAAACCACTTATTTTGTGGAATCCTCCTGCCGGGCCTCACTTCCCCATAACTACATTTTTTCCAGTCTGTATTGGCTTCATGCTTCACAGAAGCATGTTTCTGATTTTGCCACTAGAAGAACAGGTTGCTGGACAAGGCTGCTGACCCACCAGCTAGAGATCGTGCGGATAAAGCACAGTTCTCTGCTATGCTGAGCCACTCCATCCAACGAGATTATAGGGGAACAAAAGCTAACGACAAAGGAATTACTTCCCCCTTTCCTCTGCAGCTTCCTCTCAAAAGGACTGACACTAGAAATACGTGAAACGGGCACAGCCAGTCTTCTCAGCCACCACTTAACCCGCACAGCCAGCCACTGATATTGGCCTCCCACTCCACCTGTTTCCCCAGAAGGTTGACATAACATGACCATTTATGAAGATACTTTTAGGGGATTAAGACGAACGCGCGTGGAGGGCTGGGCAGCTTAAACACTGAATTAAAATCTATTTGCTTATATGGTTCAGCCATATTGGTATTAGTCTTCCAGGGATGAGAACGTTCTGTGCCCATCTTCTCCAGCCCTTGTCTATTCTATAGTCCCATGTTCTGTACAGTATGAACAGGGATTCTTGAGGGGAGAAGGGCGGTTGGTATTTATCGCTGGGGGGAAACAGGCGGAAAAGGAACACAGAGTTCAGCATGTTTACTTGATACCATTAAAATATGTTTTCTGGCATTTCTAGTTCTTACTCCTCTGGGGCTGGTGCCTGCCTGAACCAGAGGGGCGCTGCAGAACTACAGGTATGGAGATCAGGTGTGCCACTGTCCTTCAGACGGTTTGCCACCTGAATGATTTTTGTGCAGTTGGGGTCAGTGTTTCGGGACACCTAGCAGCCTGCTAAGTCGGCGAGAGCTGGAGCGTTAATCAGAGGTGCTGCAAGGGCCAAGGAGACGTGTGCATGTCTCAGAAGGGAATATAGTCTCCAGTCGGAGAGGCAGAAAGCAGGTTTTTAAGAATGTGGAAAAACGGATCGGTCCTGTGCAGCAGGCAGATCAAGAAACCAGAACCAAGCAGCCGACAGGGCAGGCATCAGTGAAGGTAACCACCATCAGCCAGCGTTCACACACACAGCACAGGAGCAGGGGGCGTGGGAGGGGCGAAGAGCCACAAGCATGCGTGGGGTCTCTTGCCACACCGTGACAGACAGGCTATGGAGACGCAATGGCTGAGCGAGGAAGGCACATTACTCTCAATCAGCAATCAGCACGCCCTGTATTGCTCCCTCTACCTGCCATTTGAAGATAAGGCCGTGTGCACTACAGCTGCCAGCTGAGCGGTGGGGGGGTTTGCTGCCCTGGTGTTTGTTTTGAATTACCTTCAGAGTATTTTTCTCCAGTGCATTCCCATGCTGGGGTGGAGAGAAAGGCATGCTGGGTACGGCCTTCAAATACATCAGATGTGAAAAGTAAATTCATTGACCTGAGTGTCTCAGTTTCCTTGGCCTTTCTGCCAGGGCGATACAATAATAGTTACAGTAGCAGAGTCATTTGCCATTTAAACTAGGGTGTGCCCCACCCCCAGCTTCCAGCATCACCTGCTTCCTCCTGCAGTGAGGTCACAATGCTAAATGCATGACATCATAATGGAATCCAGTGTCACGCACAGACACCAAACACGGGGCAATGACTTTCCTAAGGCTCCAAGCAGTGAGAGAAGCTGGGGTTGAAAGGAAAGAGCCCTTAGCAAAGAAAATTAACCTCAAACTACCTGGCTTCATTGACATTCTCTTGGGAGAAGTGGGCCCCACTTTAAAGATGCAAAGGCAATTCTTTTGATTTGCCACCCTGCGCACACCTCACAACGGCAGAGCGCTCCCACGCTGGCTCCAATCTGTTCTGCGTGACGGCCACTTTCATGTGCAGCCCCAAGCTCTCCAAAGCAGAGATTACACCAAGTCCAACCCTGGTGCTTACCGTTATAAATACACTCCCCATAAGAAGACACAAGGTTGAGGCCATAGACCCCGATGACCTAGGAATTTAGCAAGTGGGTAAGACGTGTGTGAACACGAAAATAAGACAAAAGAAGGTACAGTGGGATTGTAGACGTGTAGAATAGAGCACAGAGCAATTCTTCCACTGAATAGGACTGTTTTTCCAGCTCCCTGCTGATAGCCCTTGATGTGTTGTGTGCCGGGTGGTGCACACTGACACCTGTACATGTGGTTTAAATCCAGTTTAATGGAACATCCCAGAACTCCTTCTTGGATCTGCAGCCTAAATCAATGACTTCCGGTACTGGAGCAGCCACAAATTGCAACAACTAAATGACTCTCACATAGGACGAAGATGTGCCCTCCGAGGGGGACAATCCCACCCTCCCGGTGCCCAAAACCCAACCCCTAGGTTTCACTGCAAGGAAGGCAAAAAATCCAGCCTGCTTCAGCCAATCTGGTTGTTTGGGGAAACATCCCTGCCCAGCCACAAGCCACAAGAATCTGCAGTGACTTAGATAAGGGAGGGAGGGAGGGCTGAGTGCTGGAAACCAGCAAACCGGAAGTGGCCCTGAGTACAGGGCTCCAAATCTCATGCCAGATGCCCCGAGAGCTCCAGCTCACCCCGGAATGTGGGGGTGGGAATCTCGAGGGACCTGGCCCGTCCTGGCCTCTTTGCCCTCACCTATCCCGGAGCCACCAAACTCACCCCTCACCGGGCTTGGGGCCCTCAATGCAGTTCGTTTTTAAATAGGATGCCAGACACGCAGCCAGCCACCACTCACAGGCCACACAAAACCCTACTTCTCCCTGCCTGAGACGACGCCCGAGATGCTCGGTGTTATTCATTCCTTACACGTGCCAGCTGGCCACGACTCCAAATACACCGCTAAGGAGAGCCACATGTTTTCACCATACTGCAAACAGGTATTTAGTGCTTCTAGAGAACTTTCCATTTCCAAAGCACTTTGCCCACACTCCTGGCCATCTGACTGGGACACCAGAACATCTCGTACGGCTTCTTCTGCTGGCCCCACTTCGTCTCCCCAGCACAAAACATTGTGAAATGTGTCTTTATGGATGGTGCTTTAAAAAGGAAAACAACTGCTCTAAAGCAGAGTTAGGCAGACACCTGAGCTGCT